ACATTTGATTACCTCTGTCATATTTTTATATATAATTAGTGTGTACAATAAAGTATTAAATAAATAAAAACATAGAAAGTCAAGTAAGTTTTTGATTAAAGCATAAATAACATAATAGTTTGTTAGAAAAATATATCGCAACCTCTCATTCTTTTGCTCTCTTCTTTTTATACTTGATTAAGCAACACGCACGTTGTTTTACTTTTTTGCAGCCATAAATATAAGCGCTATAAATTATACGATTCTGTAATATCTGTAAATGGTTAATACCTTAATAGAATATGCCGAGGTCGGTTTCGGATACCTTACAGTTGCATATTGACGTCACTCCAATACTGGACTTCGCACGACATATACGATAAAACACCCACGCCACTGTAAGCATTTGGAAACTAAAGGGTGAGAAGTCGAGTATTAAATGAAATTATTTTCCTGATAAATTATATTATTATCAGTAAAATCATTAGTAGTAGTGACAATATTCAATTAATATAATACTTGATTGAATACAGTAAATCAAAACATACGATCACTTATTCAACCGCGCCGAGAGAGGTAAACTAGAACTTATAATTCTTTCCTTAATTAGCCTTAACTGACATTGATACTTCCTTTATGTGAAATCAAGTCAAATATATATATATATATATATATATATATAACAAATAAACTCTCATATAAAATCTAAAATCATTACACTACTTCTTTCGGCAGTCGTGTAAAATTAAGTATTGATCATATTAATTGATCATACTGTTCATTTAGGTCAAAAATTTCTTTGTATAGTTAAAGTCCTAAAATTACCTTATACCCTCGTAAGAAATGTTATTTTGATCTTTAAACCCTTTCAACGAGTTCAGGAGCTTTTACCTAACTAGGTGTCATTTTTGGGAAATCCATATTACTGGTTATTTGATTAGAATTATTTTGATTAATTACGCTACTATTCGTTAGTATGTGTGTGACAGCCAACACTCTAAGATTGACCATCACTATTACTATCAGAAGTTCCACAATCTTTCTTGCTGCTTTATCTATTAATTTGCCTGAAGATGCCTCATTAAGAGATAAAACCAGTGAATTAAAAAACATCTCAAATATCCCAGTATGTTTCGGATAACTGAAAATTATCCGAAATAAAATTTAATAACAATCTAAACGATTTATAACATCATTAATGATTACATGCTACTTAGTCTGCGTGACCAAAATAAGTTGTTTGACTGATATAAAAAAAACAGCCTATGTCCTTTTTCATTCCAAATACAACGTAGTTATATGATATTTTATTACGATTGGTTGAACCGTTAAAGTTCCAAAAGAACAAACCAACAAACTTTCACATTTATAATATTATACTACATATTAACAAGGATTATACTGGTAACCTGGTTACATATCACTCTTATAACAACTCTTCTTCGTATAGAGATAGATCGAAACGCAATATTTGTGACATTTATATGGAAGTTGGCCTATAAGTTAATAATCCACATAACAAAAATGTCAGCCAAATAATAACCAAAATAGCATATCAAATAAAATTTGAAGTTAATTGAATTCTAAATCCAATATCAAAGACAGAACTGTGGGATTACTCTTGAAATAAATTCCAATAAGTCGATATTGAAATTGAGACGTTTCGCACTCTCGAATTGCAATACTATCAACATAATGCTTCCATGTTATCCCGATGGATACATATTAGTATAACTTGCCAATGCAAACTACTATAAATCGATGCCAATTATAACTTATTCCTGTTTTTTCGTGAATGCAATATAAAATTATTATTGTGAAATGGATTTAGATTATTATTGTGATTGGATTGATATTAGATTCAAGAGTAGACCTGCTGAATTGAGGTCTCTGCCATAATGTTGGACATTATCTGTGTCATATTATCGTGACTGTCAACTCGTTACCGACAAAGACAAAAGCCCGATCACAAGCATCATTACACGTATTGTGTATAGGTATCCGTTGATTAGCTAAAGGCTGCATTCCTTAACTTTTTTTTATATTAGTAACAAATAGAACACGTGTATTAAGTATTGAATTGTAATAGTGACAAACGCATTCTATCTACTCGAATATCCTGTAGCGGTCGACCTATGGCTATGAATAAAAAAATTACCTTATTAAATAATTTATATTACGATCAGTTAATTACTTATAGTTTGGGAGGGAAAGAGCAGTAATGGGGTCTAAACGCCCCCTTGTTTTTTTAATGGATGACAATGGAATCGTAACCTCGCCTGCGCTAACGGGGCACCCATATGAGATAATAGGTGAGAAAGAAAAGGCAGGTATGTTAACCCATCGTGATGAATACACCTGCAATTTAACACCATGGTTTCCAGGGGGGGGGACCACATAGAGGTCGACCTGATAAAGTATATTGCTAGCCATAGATCTGGTAGTCTGCTTATTTTTTTTTGATGGGTGAAAATGGTATGATAACCTCACCTGCGCTAACGGGATATGCTGGCGGAACACTAGTGAAGGGTGATAGATGAGAATGAAAACAGGCCAGTTAGCCCATCATGATGAATTCATCAGGAATTAACCATGATAATTTCCAGGGAGAACCGCGAGGAGGTCGACCTGGTTGGGTATATTGCTAGCAATGGGATCCTCAGTCTCCATTACTAACAATCCCTTTCTCGTCCGCTTATTACCAAAATACTCTATCAAGTCGACCTGCAAGCGATTCCCCTTGGAAACTATTGTAGTTAATATTAAATTCGTCATGATGGGCTAACTGACTGACTTCATCCTCACCTGTCATCTGTTACTGCTGCTTCACCAGTGTACATCAATAGCGTAAGTATCCCTTATTTTTATTTCATTTTAACTCATTAAAAAATCCAAACGTAGATGTATAATACAACATACAGTACCTAAAATTTACGATAATATATATTGGCCAAAACAATTAAAAGATTAGCTTCAATATGCTTAATAAACATTTCCTTGTTAGCAAACATTGTTAACACAACATACAAAATGTTCTCATTAAGGTAATTTAAAATATCTATACATCCTTAACATATGTGTATTATGACTTACTGTTGATGTTTTAAATTTAACATTCCCTTATGGATATATTTTATGAAATAGTAGTTGATTCCCATGACTATGCTCTAGCAAAACTCATTATCTTTTATAGTCATGACAATTTTAAAAAATCTTTTCTTATCAGACACTTTATCTAAGAAATATATGTGCAAATGTTATAAACTTTGTAAGTTCAGAAAGTAATTTTATTAGTATTTAAAAAAAATGTGATAAGTTTAAAAGCATTTTGTTTATTTTAGTTGGTATGCCAAAAAGTCAGAAAAGTGGTTCACATTTTTTAGCAAACAAATATAGTATTTATTAAAACTAAAAATTATTATGATTATGGTATATTCTTAGTATTCTTTTTTTATTTGATAGAGTTCTTAGCACTTTGTTTTAATTTAGGATATGCTCTCAGGTAGGGTGAATACTTGATGTACACTTGTGATCTTTAAAAAATCATTTTCGATGGATAGAATTGTTTCCATTATAATGTAAAAGAATAAAGACTAAATTATTTATTACTCATAGGTTATGACCTATGTCATCAATCTCATGATCCCATATATATATATTGAACCATGATGTTATTTTAAAAATATAATATTTTCCTTAAATTGTCATTAACTACGTTTTCACCTGCATTTTTGTCAGTTCCTGATCATAAAAAAAATTGAATAAAGTATTTTTAAAACATAAATATTAAGTATAAATTAAAAAATAAATAAATTACATTTACAATGCTCCAAATAGACAAATATAATCAAAATGTGTACAACTTTAACTATTGACTGCACTATTCTTGTAAGATTCTTTTCTATACATTTTTAGTGGTTTATAACCACTTAGGTACTAATGTTTTATCATAATAAAAATATGCTTTATTATTTAATTTTTCACAAGAAAATGCCAGTCATGTTCTGAAATTTTAGTTATCTGTCCATTGACTAAAGAAAAGAGCAAAAGTAATTCTGACCACATCATCCAGAAAAATTAAAGAGTATACTAAAAATATAGGTAAATAGGTAATTATGTAAATAGGTTATATATATATATATATATATATATATATATTGTTAGTCTTTGACCAACTGGTCATGAGCTGAAAAAATACCTTGTTTTCATTTATTATTATTTTTTGCAACATTTAGTTGAAGAACTTATTAGAAACATTTTTATACATGATTGAATATGGTAAATATTCACCCTAATTTTTGTGAATGTTTAAGCTTTGGCTTGTAAATTAATATTAACTGTTATTGATCTAAAACTGTGAGACATATTCATATTGCTATTAAAAATAATGAATCAATAACAAGTCAACAGCAAATCTCCACTTATATACACTATATATATATAATACTTAAAATTATAAGCGAAAATATCTGAGAGCCAGCTATGCTTGGCAAACCGGCATGTTGATCCTATGTTGTGTGACATAAAATATAATATTATGATGTAAATATCAACTGACACCTCTAATATTTATAAAAAAAATTAATTTGATTTCTAACTAAAGAATGTCTCTCCGGTCCTGTGAATTGCACCCCTTTTCTTGTACAACTAGGCCACTACCATTACTGTGATAAATTAAATACTAACTTAATATAACTTTGTGTCTTACTAAAAAAAAAAAAAAACAATTTTTCATTTTGTCCTGTCTTATTGGTAATGCAGTACAGTATATTGTATATTTATTGTCGTACACTTTCAAACTGTAGGGTGAATTATTAAATTTTCAAATGGTAATAAAAAAGTTTTATTTTTCCCATAATACCATCATATACTAAAAATTCAATATAAATTGTACTACATAGACTTTAATCAGAAATTAAATAAAACTACAAGAATACTACAGGTGTAATATTTTTAATTGTATTATTGTTTAGAGGACAGATTATACACTGTTTAGCAGCTAAAATTACTAGATTTACTACCTTAATTCTCAAGAATGGTAACGCGTAAAGGGCACCATAGACGTCACAATTTATTCTGTAACGAAAGTAATAGATAATTTTTATTTTTTAGATGTGTTAGACTGTTCCCTTTAGGCAATTTATGATAGGACAAAATCATATGTATAACTCACAGGAAATTAATGGATAAATAAAATAAACAAAAATGAAATTGAACGTAAAATGCATAAAAAAAATAATTTGTGAATAGGTAAGTAAAACTAGTAGTACTTTTTAAAACTAGGTCATAACACGGAAATAAGTAAAAACTTTTAACTAAAAATATTAGTGTATAGATAAACGAGAAAAATTTTATTGACTCACCGTTTCAAAAATATTTTCCCGTAGAAATCGAATCATAAAAATTAAAAAATCATTTCACTTTCTACAATAGTCAAATAAAACAAAGAAAGAAAACAGTTTCACTTGCTGAACGGACACAACAGTGTAATTTTTTTTTTTGAACTGCGCTAGTATAACTTTTGTTAGAATTACTGTAGTTACTTGTTTCACTTACACTTTATAAAATAACACGAATAAGAAATATATTAACCTAGTAAGAACTATAGAAAAATAATCAAAACAAAAAATCGGCAATATAACTCACCACGAATGGAATGAAACTATTTTTTTAATTTTTAATGCACCACAGATTAAACCATAGAGTAGAACACAAATAATAGTGTTGCCAAGTCACGATAAAAATGCTCATTACTTTTTTTTATTTTAGTTGTGGTATCTGCTTGTGGAAACTGTTAGGAGATGGCGCCACAACCGTATAATCCTTATCACTAAAAAAATTTAATTAAGGAAAGCTAATTAAAAATTTAAAACAAATAGCGTAGCCCTTAACTAATTTACTCTATAAGTACAGTCTACTGATTTTTTATTACTAATACATACAAAATAAAATAGAGCAAAAAAAATTTAAAAAGCATAACTATGAAGTCTCTTACAGGATCATAAAATATATGTCAATTATATAGCAAATAAACTATATGCATTGGATTGTAATCCATTTGTAATCCATTGATTTTTATTGCTGTTAAGGATACAGTGAAAATTTTAATTTATTTTATAGCTTAGCATATAGCTAAAAAATAATGATGATAATGATATGGCTAAAAGACTTTACTTATTATTATCACCGTCATCATATCAGCCATTTTTTGTTCACTACTGAACATTTACTAAGAGCTACTAAGCTTCACCTTTACAAAGAGATTTTGACAGTAGTTGTCACGCCTGGTAAGCGGGTCCTCGACCATTAAGTTTCCTTATTTACCTCTTACGAAACCCATGGAAAAATAAGAGGTCTCCCACTCTATGTCAGGACTATGAAGCAAAAAGACTTTACTATTATTATTTAATGAATGAAGAAATAAGTAAGTATACTTTATTTGCATTATGCAATATAGAAAATAAGCAAGACAATTTAATTTTATTATTTAGAACTTCTTCTAACGATTAAGAAACAATCATGGAATGTAACAGCATTTTTTTACAATTAGCTATCGTTCGCGAAATATTGCTTTTATGCAACTTTTTTATTTTGCAATATTTGTTATGTAGAATTGGCACCTAGAGATTAAATTCCTATAAAAGAATTCAATTTTCATTACTAAATATGATAGTTGTAAAATTACACATTTGCTACCAAACTTTTTTTAATATTTTTGAATTATATAAAAGATATTGAGTATACGATGACAATAACTCTGCTGAGCATTTTAGGAACTAATATTGCTATTAAAATAAGTTTTACATTTTGGCATCAAATTACAGATGGCGCTGTATATCAGAGAGTTTATGTAAGAATAAAAAAAAATTGTACTCCGCTTTTCACCCTGTCCTTCGAATTTGATTGTTTATTTTCTAGTTATTTATGAATTCCAATACAATCTTTTAGTTTTTCGGGAAGAAGTGTATCTTAAAAATTATATTTAAAGTGTTTTTATTTTTGTTTTACTAAATACGAAAAGGATAATGTTTCACTCTATGGTTTTAGTAGATAAAAAACAATTAAAAATTTTCTATCACTTTGCCAATTAGCGTAAAAAATATGAAAAATTTCCAAAGGAAATTTTAAGGATACTTAACAGTTAAGCATTCTTCTCGACCTAGTGACCGACCCAGTAGCTTGCAAAGCCGGTGAAGGAAGTATAGGAGTGGAATGAGGCGTGAGGATTGGCCGCGTGAAGGGACGTCATTATAAGTAGTGTCCAGTTCTAAACGAGCAAGCTTCACGCAGTCAAGGATCACAGTGGTGTTCTACCATGTGTCTACCATTAATGCAGAGAGTTGCATTTTTATTATTCTAAACCAAAATGCGAAACTGTCCGGAATATGGTGGTTGAAGAGATCGTCTGACGTCATTATCTATTAAGGAGGCATGAATATCATAGGGCAAATCTTTGAAAAAATATATCCCGGGTGTTGTATAACGAGAAGCTGAAATGGGTCTCATTTTAGAGATGGTTCTGCGGAATCTACTTATAAAATCGGAAAGATCCTCAATCCCCTGGGAAGCTGAAGCACAAGTGATAAGCTCATTAAGTAGACGAAGTGGTTCATACATAATTAGCTAACATGGCAATATCCTCCTTTATCGGAGACCTAACAGCACTAAAGGAAGAGAGCTCAACCAATCGTTACGATGACATAGTGCGATTTGTGACCGATAATATAAATGACCACTGAAACTTTTCTGGCTGATTGGATCGCACAATTTGGTGTACCCGAAACCATAACTACAGATCAGGATCGCCAATTTGAGTCCGATATATTTCATCGACTAATGAGTCGATTGAATAGGTCAGACTCAAATTGGCGACAAAGCTTAATGAAGCATTGTAGCGCATCACATATGCGGTCAACCAGTTACCATCCGCAAACGAATGGCAAGGTAGAACGTCTCTACCGACTTAGTTGAGCGTTTTTCCTTTAATGCTTATCGGAGACCTAACATAATAATAAGATGTACTAAGTCTATAACGATTTAGTACATCCTTGATGCAAGCCGATAGTTGTGCTGCATACACAACTATCGGCTTGCTTATTACACAGGTATGCGACTTAGGTCTCCTCCCGAGCCACTATAGTTTCTGCCCAGTATCCTCTTCGTAACCGTAATGTCCTATATATATATATATATATATATATATATATATATATATATATATATATATATATATATATATATATATATATATATATATATATATATATATATACACATATATATACATATATTCCTTCATTCCTTTTTTTAACAATTTTCTTTACTCACTCTCATCCCCTCCTTGTCCCTAATCCTTCCCTTTGTACTATAAACGGCAGATACCACCAACAAATACATTCCCAAGGAGGGTTGACGTCAAGTAGACGGTCGATCGTAAAACTAAAAGACAAACCCTAAAGTAATATGGATATATACAATAATATACATATTATGCCTACCCCAAATAATTGCCATAAGAGCAGAGAAATGATGATGATATTTCACTAATAATAAATGTCTTAGAAACACGTAGTGTTAGAAATATAAATGCACTTTGCCCATTTTACAAAATTTTATAAATATCTATATTTTCATTTATTTATAATCTTGCACATATTAAAATATGTCTACAGGGCGGAGCAAGTGGCTCAGGATCGTTCTTTATGGCCGTCTATGGGGGAGGCTTATGTCCAGCAGTGGACAGGTAATGGCTAAAATGATTATGATGAGGATGTGAAATCCTGAATATGTGTAACCTCGCTTACATTAACGGTAATCACTAGCAGGACATTAGTGAGGGATGATAGGTAAGATGAAAAGGTAGGTCAATTAGCCCACCACGTAGAATAACCCAGGAATTCAGCACGATACCTTGGATGGATGGAGGGGAAACCACATAAAGGTCGACCTGACAGAGTATACTACTGGCAATGGGACTGGTAGTCAGCATTACTAACAACCCCTTCACCCCGGAAGTATTATTTGGCAAATGAGTGCCCGGCAATGATTTGCATCAACGATGTAGCTGTGTCTTCCTCATCACTCGACTAACGTACAATAGATAGAACGAGCATACAAGATTGAGAATGTATTAACTCGTGTCTTGGTTTTGAGGATAGCAACTCATTTTGCGTCATCATGAGCGCACTCATTACCCACAATTCCCACATGGGCCTTGACCTATACGAACTACAAGTCATTGCCCGTATTATGTATAGTCTAGTGTATGGCGTTTACCATTGCTTTTCTGTTACTTCTTTATCTCAGAGCTTCAAGCGCGAACATACTGTTGGACAGAATTGCCACACTTGAATTAAAAACTTGGGAATACTGCAACTCCTTGAGAGCAGTTTTCATTGCTATCAGTTCGGCGGTAAATACTGTGTTGGAGCATCACAACTTTATTTACTACTGGCCTGGGATATCTCGGGGTCAAAAAATAACTGCTGTACCACCAACCTCACCAGTTTCCAGCCTACTCCATCTGTGTAGATGCGTAGTCCATGCTGGCGATAACTCTCCTCACAGCTTGCTAAATAGTAACCTATATTTTTTCTAATCCCATATAATACGTGTATACCAAATTTTAACAATAATTGGTTAACTCGTTAAGGCGCTTTAAAGTAACAAACAAACAAGCTCATTTTCATATTTATAATATTAGTATAATTACAGATAATTCCAATGTAATTGTACCAAATACAAAAGTATTAAGAATTTCAAATGTACTAGATGTTGCGGGCACAGACAGTGAATATACTTTGAAGACTGTGTTTTAAGATATTAGTAATTATGATACAGGCTACAAGCGACATAAACAAGTCATAGGTGATATTTAGGGTACGAGTGATAAAACGGGTCCTATCTCACCCGGAGACAGAAGTAACCAGTACAATTTACGAACAGCATGACGATTAGCAACTAAATCTCTTTATAGATTCTATATTGTGTACAATGTTAAATAAAGTTGATAAAATAATTTCGCATTGGAAGTTCATTAGGCAAACAGACGGCGAGTATATGCGACGTGTCCGCGGGATCACGCTCACCCATCGTGTCCTATGACCTTCGTAGACTCAATATTTATTTCATACATAAATCAAAAACCAGATAAGGCATATTTATTATGCTATAACGTGCTTAATATAATTCGTATAGAGCTAATTATCAAAACAGCATTCTGCATTTGTGGTGAGTAGATACCTACTATTTTATTATAAACGTTATTCATTATCTGATCTCATTTATTTTAGTTCAGTAAGTCTTTTAATGAAATTACCTATTTAAATTCTATTGATAAAATATTTAACAAAAATTGGCAATAAATATTAATTTAACTATCCATATTTGTTAGGTTTTTGATATAAAAAAAGGGACCTATGAGATATTTATTGTAATTGAAGTAACAATGACTTCTTTTTTTTAAGTTTTACAATCAATATGTCAAGAAGTTATCATTGAGTATTGCATTGATATAATAAAATAGCCATTTAACTTAAGTAGTTAACGTGATTTAAAATCATAGCAAGCTTTATATTATAATGTCTACGTGTGCAAATAAAAAAAAAATCTTTATTTTTCTTTATTCTTTATAGTACACAAACATAATGTTAAGAACAATTAATTTTAAACTTAATGTCTTATAATTAGTAAATATGAAATTAATTGTAACAGTGTATTGCAATATTTAATAGTTCGTTACGCTAACGCTTCCCTATCTATTAAAATAGTTTATTTTAATAGATAGTAAAGCGTTTCCAGATTTATTACTTTGGGAGGAAACATGAGCAATCCAAAAATTTTAATTATTTTTCATGTTTTTAATCGAATGAAAAATTATCATCAACTTTTTTAAATATAATACACCAACACGAACTATGTATCATGTATATTTGTTATTAGAGTCATCTTATTAACTAGTATCGGTATCGATATAGAAGAGCCTAATTTCTAACTAGGTATAAATTTTTACAAGAAATCATCAAAAAAAGAAAACAAACAAATTGAATTTGTTTATGTTGTTTAGTTATGGCTCCAAGTAAAATTTTCCCAATCACAATAACGATAGTAATTTTTGGGTGTTTTATTTTACATAAGAAACACAACGGCAATAAAATTTACAAACTAATTATTTTACATGAAAATTACAAATTAAATTAAAATTAATTCTTACTGAATATTATAAATGTGAAACTGAGTTTAATTGTGTGTTACCTCTTGCCATTTTAACTATAATAACCAATATGAAATTTGGTATACGTTTATTATATAAGATGGAGCATTATTTTTACTGAACTAGGTATTTTTTACTTTTTACTGGTTTTTTGATTTGAATTATTTTGTTTAATTCCGCTAATATTATTATGTGTGTCACTGCCAACATCCGAAGATTAATCATCATTATTATTATCACAAGAGAGGTTTCACAACCTTCCATGTTATATATTTTCTTGATTTTTTTGTTCGTGGTTCATTCTTGCCTAGTTTCGAGAGAAACTGGATTACGACGCGCTGCTCTTCAACGGAAGCGGGCTCCATGCCGACGGGGTTTCGTTAAGAGGTAACAGAACGCGCACAGATCGGGCGCCGAACGGTTAACACTAGGCTCTGAGGGCCTACCATGAAATGTTTTCCGAAATTTCGGAGCCGAACGAAACATAAATTTGATGTAAAAATTACATAATACATGCCGTTTGAAAATATTAAAATAATGTTACTTTGGACTTTTATGATAGGATGTATGACGAACGAAATGTTAAACTCCATTTATTGATCCGATTTTGGTAAACAAAAACACGAAATAGAGTCCGAAATTTCGGAATTTCATTTCATGGCAGACCCGCTGAACTACGATCTAGATTTGCCTGAAGATGCTTCGTTTAGAAATGAAACACGTACCGCAAAACATACGCAAACAAAGTGGCATTCGAAGATCGATGGCTAATATGGAAGGTTGTTGACCTTCTGGTAGAAATATTAGTGATCAAGCTTCGAGTGTTGGCAGTCATACACACATACTAATAGTAGCGGAATTCAACTAAATAATTCTATTCAAATAACCAGCGATTGAGAATTGGCGAAGTTATCGCGCAACATTTACGTAAACACGTAAAAGGAATAGAGGAGAATGAAGAATACATACCTCTGAGATTGAAAACGTCATTTGGAAATCGATTAAAAAGAAAATAACAACTATTTCAAATTTACTATCAATTAACTAAAATAATTACATATTATACTTAGCTGACGAACAGACGAATCAATACAGTAGCGACACGATATAATATATTTTTTTTATTTCCATATATAAAAATATAATATTTTTCTTGTAAAATAATTACCCAGATAGACTTAAATAATTTCCAGATCTTACTAATATAATAAAATTGTAACTAGACAATATCTATACATAAGAGATACATCAGAAAAAAAAATTATATAAGGGGTCATAATAAAAACAGTAGACTCTAAATAAATAATTAAAAACATTGTTTTCTGTCTGTCTTTATGTATCTTTGTTAAGACTTCACATAATAATTACTGCACCAAATTAAATGCAATATTCACAGTTATGTTCCTGATAGCCTAACTTAAAATCCGGTGAATGGTCTATTTTGATAAAACATCTAAAAGTGTTCTATTTAATTTCCTACTTCTCATATCCACGCGTACAAAGTAACAATCAAAAGACAGTACTGATATATAAATATATAAACAAACAATCCATAATTTTATATACCTTTGTGATAAATAAGTATGACAATAAACTATGCAAAATATAGCGAAGTAAATGAATATGATTAATTACCTACTCGTAATAGTTCACCCTTAGACCTTGTAAATAAGGAGGGAAAAGATTGCTAGTAATTGAGACTAACAGTCCCATTGCTTGCAATGAAGGGTACATTACAGGGTAGACCTCTACACGGTTCCCCCTGGAAACTATCTTAGTTAATTCTTGTGAAACTTGTCACGATGGACATATATGATATACAGGCAAATGTGATAATGCAGGTGGGGTCACCATTCTATTTTCACCCATAAAATATATATAATAATTTAAAAAATGGATGCTTTGCTTGACACCTAAGTAAAGTGCATTACTTTATGCCTACGTTTAATTTGATAAATATGATACTAAAGCATTTGTGATGTCATATCTTAATAAAACAATTCTAAATCGTGCTATAAAAATGTTTAATACGTAAATACTACTAATAAAATTATAAAATCAATCTATATTGTAATTTCTGATAAAATAAAACAATAACCTTGTATACAACCTAGTTATAAGAAGATAGTATTATACATGATTAAACCCGCTGTATTCCCTGTACTCTGATGATGAGATGTGTAGCATCACCACGCATTGCAATACGTACCTACTGATAAATAGATACTAGTTATAGATTACGACCACATAAACTTACTTTACTGCCATGTCGTTTGAGTTATTTAAATAAATCCTTTAATAAATCTTTCCTATGTATAATAAAAGTAAATTTCGGTCACGGTACTTAAAGTGTAGGACACAATTATTTTATCTACAATTTTATCATAACGTGTTATTGTATGACTGATGCGAAAAAAGTTACGTAATATTTAATTAATGGATATGGGGATGAATTTACAGTGTACAGAAACAACACCTTGCTCCTCAGGAATGACAACGCCAGGGGTTGATAACAATGAGGGGTATCTAAGCGAGACAGAACACTCTGTTATATCCATGGTACTGTTCATGTCTATAGACGGTTACCGTTTTCCATCAGGTGGGCCGTCAGCTTATTTGCCATTCTAGTTTCATAAAGAAAAATACCAACTTATGCATAAAAAAATTTATTAAAATTGCTTGACGAGTTTGATATCATAATAGCCAAATACATACATAGCTGCAGTCCCCCAAATATATAATATTATACAGAGTTCAAAAAGGGAAGAAGATTGTCAATCTTACTTATTTTTACGTGTCTGTTACACTATATCTTCACCGATTGTGAACTAATTTTGATAATATGAAAGACAAAAGATGAAAATAAATGGTAACTCATTAATGGGTACAAATATAGATGCAGAAGTCGTCGAATCTAAAGATACCAGAGGGAGACTTTGTACAAATATAGTCCCATTCGTGTTTCAACCGTGAAGCAGTTGTGTTTGCATGACTGTGTTTCGATATGGCTAAACAGATAACAAAAATTTTAAGATATAGGTCCATGGTATATTTATCAGGTGGGCCGTCAGCTTGTTGGCCATTCGAAGTAGTAAAAAAAAAAAAAAAAAAAAAAAAAAAAAAAAAAAAAAAATACAAAATTTTAAGATATAAATTTAAAATAATACAAGATTAAAAAACGGTTAGAATTTTTTTTTATGAGTAAATATTATGATGGTACCTCTGTTAGCGCTATTGATATACGCAGGCGGGGTAGATAACAAGTCCGTTTTAAGGGATAAGGATGGAATGGTAACCTCGCCTGCGCTGTCAGTATAGACTAGTGGGACACCAATGAAGGATAAAAAATAAGGATGACGTCAAGTCAATCAACCCATCGTGACTAATTTACTAGGAATTAACTACGATGGGGACCGCATGGTGATCGACCAAATATGGAACATTGTTGTTAATGGCCCCATTAATCTCCATTGCTAACAATCGTCACTGATAACCGGTTAGTTAGGTAGAATCACTGAATTTGGGCTTGTTATCCGTTATTATTTAGAAACAAAAAATTGGTAGGTACTATAAGCCTCTTATAATATTTGATTTTCTTGTAATATTAGGTTATCATAAAGAATACATTACGATAACCTATCCCGCGACAAATGCTACTTACTATCAAATACGGGAATATCAATGACTTGCTTATTTTATATTTGTCAACCAACTTCAAATGAAGGACATTAATATTACCACTGTTTGTTTTTTTTATGTATATAATTTTGATGTTACACTCGTATTGCTCGAAAAAGTCGTTTAATATATATAATATTAGATAGAAGACTTTTTTAAGAAACAAAATTCTTATCAATTACAAATAAATTCTGTGGACTGTTCATTATTATGATTAGCTTTTTCGCTACTTACATAAATTAATTTAGTGTATATACATTTATTATTATCACAGTAAAATACTGTAATCATATTTTTTACTTATAGATAGATTTTTTTATTTACGTTTACGAGTAAAGCAAATTAAACCCCTTATCAGAGTAAGTTAAATATATTTATACAGGTGAGGTCACATGCGTAGATACTTGAGGATGAATTATGAAGATGTGCCTATAGAACAAACCATACTAATTTTAATGCGTTACTAATAATTTTAAATTCTACCTAGGTACAAAAACAGGTAAAAATGGAAATTAATAATGGCGATTGAATGATGATAATCAATGGTGATCTATTCCCATCAATATACCATGTCAATTTGACGTCCACGCGGTTTATATCCGATTACCTTCAAATGATTTCGTCTCTATTGGCCAACTGATCTAATAATAACAACAACAGAAGCAAAAATAATAATTAAAAAAAATTGTCTGTCTGCTTGTCTTATTTTGGTTTCGGTATCAGCAAAAACTACTGCTCTTACAGTTCTATTCCTGAAAGTCTAAATTAAAAACTGGTGTAGGTATGTTTTATTTTGATACGACATCTACAAGTGGTCTATTTCATAGTTTTCTATTTTTTTCTATATCACTGAGGTGGCAAACAAGCATACGGTCCACCTGATGGTAAGTGGTTACCGAAGCCTATGAACGTCTGCAATACCAGGAGCATTGCACGCGTTGCCGACCCCGAAGCAACCTCTTTATCCCTTTTTTCTTGCGTGTTCTTCTCAACAGATAATAACTTACCGAACCCCGCATTCATGAAAAATTACGATTTAAAAGTACTTACAAATAAGTCGATTTGAATTTAAATATATTCAAAAGCCTTTTGATTCTTTTCTGTTATTCATTTTAATGTTTTTAAATACAATTTTACGTAACTTGCTTAATTATTATTACTGTTCTCCAGTCACACATAGATAATCACCTATTTCTTTTACATGGAAATGTATATAGAACATATAAATAATTATATCTAAGTTTCCACATATGGTATATATATATATATATATATATATATATATATATAATATATATATATATATAAAACGGTATATACAACGTTAAAATTGGGTCTATTGCATGTATCTGTATGTGTTATCATGAATAAATAAACATTATATTACCTATAGATATTACCTGTACTCTTATATTCCGCTTGATATTAAGTAAACCATGACATAAAGAATAGATACTAACTAGATAACTATAACTATACCTACTTCATATTAAGGCCATATCATAATTAACATCTTTGAAACATGAAAACAAAGCGTAATATACATAGTGTTAGATAGAAGTTGAATCTTATATCCACGAGGATAAAAATGTAATTTATTGTTTTGATTTAAAATAAAAATAGGTGTCCGTTAATTCCACAGAAATCAATAGTTATTTTCAAAAATAACGAGAAAATATGCGTGTATGATTGTAATATTACATATATAAATAACATTAAAACAAAGGATGCTCTTAATATTATTCGATGGTGTTTCTGTATATGTATGTTACACTATATCATAACCAATTCTTAACCTACTTAAGTATTACGTAGTAATATAAATAGTATCATTATTTAGCAATAACTTCTACTTATCGTAATGCCATTTTATGTAGTACTTACTAGTATAACCTAGGATAGATTATTTCATTATTTTTATAATATTTAAAATATTTTTTATGCATCTTTAAATGGCCAACAAGTTGACCTAACTAAAAACAGCAGCATAGACAACAGAATATATTTGTTCGCTCATGATATCCCTCATGCGTTTCCATTCCTGAGGACTAAGATGTTATGTGTCTGTACCCTGTAATTTCATTGCCATATTCCAACCTTCAAACCTTGTAAATTATTAATTGTAAATAACTTCAAAAACATGACATGTGTACTCATCCGGACATATTAATCGAGCTCAATTTTAGATGACATTATTTTATAACAATCTTTCTATAGCCTACTTAAATCAGATCCCAACCATGGTGTCGTATTGATTGTTCTCAATGTTACATACTCGTAGGTATGCCCGTCTTTAGCTCAATGGAATATCAGCAGATGGAATATAAAATTGAATATCAAACTGGAATAACTGACACATGCAAAAAATGTATAAAAGAAGAAAGTTTAATATGTAAATTTTATAATTTTATATATATTGTTTATTACACTAAAATATACAGCAATAATAACAAATTAATAACAAAATTAGCAGAAGCGAACTTATCTTAATCCTAATTTTGATTTCCCTTTCATCCCTATAATTTTATAATTTGAAACCACAGGAATACATAAATAATGGTTATAAACACCACACACTAATATACTTTTAGCATTTCGCCTGATCAGTTGGTTGGCATATAATCTTTTTTAATAAAGAGAAACTCGTGTCTTCACCGTTAATCATAACGATGATTATGATCGATGTTTTTTTGGATTTTTTTATGGAAATATATTTTCATAATAAATACTATGAGATCAAATCCACATAGTTTCCATCTAGCCTAGTGTAGCTATTTAATCATTTGATTTCTGTAACATGAGCGTGATACCTTTGTGTCATCTGTGTTCATATATCACTGACATGTTTAAATGTTGCTTTAGTATTAATCACACGATGACGAACAAACAGTCCTTTATCGTTTCATGTAATTATTGTTTAAACGGTGCCTGAAACATATCGCAAACGTATCTCATACAGTTTAATTTATAATATAGATTACCCTATCATTTTATCAATTGATCAGACAGATTCATATACTTATAGTTCCTAGTTGTTTTATCGACGTGCCTCATTCTAGTGATTTGGAGTAATAATTTTCTTTTTAATTTACAGAAATAAAATGGCTAAAAAAGGTATTAAATCAAAAGTGAAAAGGGATGGAGAATTCGTGCCTCCTGACGGGGGATGGGGTTGGATGATAATTTTTGCTGCTGGAATTTCTAATGTAAGTAAACTATTAAAAAGTTACTAATATATGTATACTATAAATGTGAAATTGGGTTTATTTATTTGTTACATCATGGCCTATTTGTGTGTTAAACATCCTTCTATTTAGTATATAGGGATTAAACAGACCTACACATTTATAATAGTAATAAGACGTAAGATATTTACTTATATAATAATAATATTAACCTTCGTTCCAGTAATACTCTCCAACTATCTTTCCACTCTCACCGTACTGGTTTCGCTTCAAACTCTTTTCTCCTACATTCTTCACGACTCTGGAACGCGCTTCCTGATGCCATTAAAAGACTACTGACTAAACTGTCTTTAAAAAAAAACGTTCACGCTCACTTTTTTACTTTATCCGAGCAGTAAGTGCTTTATATTATTCTCAATTTCGTGTATAATATAGTATATGTCATATATATGTAAATATATTTGTTATTTATATATATTTATTTGTTTATACATGTAATTTTAGTATGTATGTATATTAATAATTACTAGTACCGCATTCGAGTATCCTGACACTTCCCTATGGTTGACTGGGAAATTTTAGACTAAATTCTATAGGAATTCTATATGAATATACCTATTCTGGATAAATGGTAATGCATTCATTATATATTGCTGTTTTATTTTACATTTTTTATTTACATTGTAACCAGTGTACTCTGATATTAATGATTTTAATATCACATATTTTATTATATTTTTTCAAGATATTTCCTACAGCATAGGTTTCTTTGAAAAAGGATAATAGGATTTTTAAGTGTCGGTATCATGCATGTCGTACCCCTGGTGCTGTAAGTGTCCATATATAATAATAACCATTTACCATCAAATGGGCTGTAAACTTATTTGCAATCATAATGATAAAAAAATACTGTATATGACGCCAAAAATGTTCATCGGATAGGTCTATAATTTGTTTACCATTTCTAATTATGGGTACTAAGTTACTTATATAAAAAATGTAGAAGATACATTTTGTATTTTCTACACTAATTTATCCGCAAACATGTCAGTTATATATATCATTTTGATTATAGATATTTATACAGATTTACAGATTTTACTCTTTATGAATGAATGAATGAATGAATGAGTATTCTTTATTTACATTATACAATATAGAAAATAAGCAAGGCAATTTACAAACTCAACGATACAATTGTATGAGTACAGTAAGGCGGTCTTATTGCTGAGAGCAATCTTTACAAGACAACCTTAAGGTAATGGACTAATTGTTGTTAATAATGTTACACTGCTTAAAATGGTAAACATGTAAACGGTCCACGTGATAGAATGATACCCCTCCTGGATGTTATTCCTTTGTACTAGTGGTTCCATACTACTATCTCACCCCATAAGCTGAAATGCAGGGATACCATGCGTATATCATATTGTGTTCTGTGATGGACTATTGCCAACAACTTTTCACCAACTAGACAAACAAGTTATTGGTCCTGTTACATAAAAAAATATTGGCTCACAAAAATATAGCAAGTTTAATAACCAATTATATCTTCATATAACGTGAATGAGCTATAAAAAAGGTGTCTGCATTTGAATAGGTATTAAATATTAAAAAAAACAATCGGCGACTAGTCACCACTCACGTGGTTGCCACTGGGTGACTGTTAATGAAACTTGATTAGTTAATAAATTATAAGTCTACAGAAATATAATGGAAAACGAGGCCAATTGCATTAACTGATAATGTTACACTACGAGTATTTAATTATGATAAGATTTGATAAGACTAGTTTTTATAGTTTTTATTTTTATTTTGATGACTTGTGTACTCACATGTTTGAATACATACCATATGGCATGTGCTACTTAGATAATTGTTGTTGTCTGTGTGAGTAGATTATTAAATGACCTTGCTTATATACGAGTATACACATATTAATCTTTTGTTTGATACAATCGGTACCTATATAAGAAGCTGTTGATCGAGTATTCGTTCGACTTTTATTTAAAATATTATTCATAAAGTTATCGTAGCCTGCATATTACTTGCAATCATGCAGGAAAATACTCATCTTGACATGTGTTTTTTTTTTATGTTTTATACATTAATCATTATTTTCAATGCCTTCAAAGAGAAGGAGGTTCTCAATTTGATTTCATTTTTCTTCATGTTTATTACCTCCGTCAATTCTAAACCGATTTGAAAAATATTTTTTTATCTAAAAGGATATACTTTCAAATTGGTCGCATAGAAATTTTATTAAAATCGGTTTAATATTTTAATTCTTAGATCGAAATAAATAGTTTTGCCATAATTAAAGTCGGTTTTTTTTAATTATATGTCTAGAAGTTTAAAAAAAAACATTCAATATCTTATCCAGTTAATGGAAAAAAAACCGCAGCACATTTAAGCGACATGTTTCGGAACCACTAAAATTTCTGAATTTTCTAAATAAATAAGTATACATCTGTGATGCTGAAGAGAAGAGATTGTTTGTAATAAGATCTAACTAGCTAGCTAGCTAGCTAGCTAGCAAAATACCCTATAAGGTGACCTCCATGCGGTCCCTACTAGAAAGCATTATGGTTGATCCCTGATGAATTCATAACAAATGTACAATAAGTCGATTGGCCTATTTCATTTAATTTCATCCTTATTTATAATTACTCAGGCTCACTAACACCTTAGCAGCGGAGCTATCATCCTATTTTCTTCCATTAAAAACACCTCTATAATGCGTACGAAATCATCAATATAAGATAGTTTAGCCAATGTATAAAATGACAATTACTTCCATAGACAAGTACGAAGTACGAAGTAAGAGTACAAAATATTCTTGACTGTGCTGTAATACTATTTAGGTCCATTTTGTTATGTATAAAAGTATAAAATTATTATATGTAGATAAATAAGACACCGGTGTTACTAGAAAATGAATACAGATAAGTTTATTATCTTTATTAAGAGGTATTGTAATAGTTTATTGAATATTTTATCCTGTCTGCGTCTATGTGTTATATAAACATGAAGTTCCACCCAATCATAGTAGTTTCTACGATTTTTACGATAAAAGATTTTGCGTAAAAAAGACTCAAGTGTAAAATTTTAAGTTATTATATCCAGTAGTTCTACGATTATTATTAGTTAGGATTGGAACTTCATGTTTATATAACAAAAATAGCTAGCAGACAGGATAAAATATTCAATAAACTATTACAATACCTTCAAAATTTGTTCCAATCCTAACTAATAATAATCATAGAACTACTGGATATAATAACTTAAAATTATACACTTGAATCTTTTTTTACGCAAAATCTTTTAGTATAAATAAAAGCTAGTATATATTATAGAATATTGATGGGCAAACTTATATATACATATACATATATACATACATACATACATATTAAAAACTCGGACAAACAAGTATACAATAAAATTAACGTATACGAATATTTTTATTGAACGGGGATCGAATCTGCACCTGTCGAAAGGCAGAGCAAACCAATTCGTTATAGAGAAATATTTTGCAACCCTTTTAATTTAATAACATATGACATTTCAGCTGTCGGCCCTACCCATCCTTCAGCAGTTTGGTCTACTCTTCAGGGATAAATTCGAGCGGCTAGGCATCACCAGTTCCGAGACAACTACCATCATCAACATGAACTCCGCGCTGACCTCTTGCGTCGGTGCGTGACGCGCCTCGCATGGTAACTCTCAATACCATACTGGCCCATTCATGTGTAAGGCAGCACAAATTCATGAAAATAAAACTAATTTAATAACCTATTCATTTTATGCTAACTTCGTGATCACAAAAGGATAATGCATAATTTTTTTATCAAAACTTCAGTTACTGTATAGTTGGAAAAGAAAATGAACATCTCTTTGCAATATTTTATTTTTATGTCCTTGTTTGAAGTTAACACGAATTTTAGAATTTAAAAATAATTGACGGTCATATTAGGATAATGTTAAAGCCAAATGGCATTATTGCTTCTAAATTAAACCTTATAAACCTATAAGTTATTCAATAATGCGAGGTAGTTTATATAGACTACCTTAGATTATATAGATATAGTGTCTCCATACAAATGCTTCGAGAAACGCATGTCAACTTTTTCATACAATTTTGCGTGATAAATGGTTATGAGTGTTTCCTTTATAACTTCTATATTTATTTTGTCTTATAAATTCTTCATTTATTTAAAGCACAAAGACTCATTTTATTTATTATATAATTAAATATAGATACGCCAAGATACATTATGTGCGTAAGTATATAGAATATTAATAAAAAAAAATTTTTAGGTAATTTGACAATAAGTTGACAAAAAGTTGACCCGTTTTAAAATTTGATGCTCTATCTGTATAATCTAAGCTTATAACCTAATATTTATGGAACGAACAAAGTTTGATTTTGAAATATTAATTTCATATAAACCAAGCCGTGGGCTACAAAAATTATTTCACTAGTTATTTATCATCTTTATATTATTATGCATCTATAAATTTTTATTAATTTTTTTTTTACAGGTCTAGCTAATGGTCCAATGTTCAAAACATTCAGCTATAGAAAAGTTTCACTAGCAGGAGCAACGATTGTATTTATTTCCCTCATGTTAACTACGTTCTCCTATAATTTTATTACTTATCTCATATCTTTCTCAATATTATATGGTACGTTCAATCAATTTGTAGAGTTATGTATGTAAATGTATTTTAAATCATAATCGACGACACAATTAATTTATTAAAGACTACATTTTCAGGTGCTGGTTATGGTATCAGTAGTTCAGCTAATGCTCTTGCATTAAATACGTATTGGAAAAACAGAAGACGATTAGCAACTAGTCTATCATGGACTACAACAGGTCTTGGCCCTATGTTGTGGCCACATATAATAACAGCATTATTTGCTATATTTGGGGAAACGGGAACAATTCTTATTTTAGGTGGAATATCACTGCATGCAATAGCATGCGCACTTTTATTGCAGCCAGTTGAGTGGCATTGTAGAAAACCTAAGCAAGAAGAAACAAAGTTTCTTAAGTCGAGTCTAGCTCAAGAAAAATTACAACAAAACGATAAAACAGATTTAGATTGTAGAAAAATACAAGAAAGTGGTTATTTTAGTTCAAAAATAAAAAATCTAAGTGCATTCTCAAGTCAATATCTTTATAATGAGGATGATCCAGTTACTCCTGGCTATGAAATAATAGACCCTGGTGTACCAATGATGGTGCGTGCAAATGACGGATATTATAGTCAATCAAGACAATCTAGAAGTAGACATGCTTCAAGGGATGCTTCTACAAAAAATTCTCGTATGAATTCAAAGAAACCATCCATGACAAATCTAGCAGAAAACCGATCACGTAAATCGTCAACATTGTACTTAAATGAATCAAAAAAGAATTCAGCAGTAAATCTCGGAGCTCTTGTACATGAACGTGAGAAGCCGACAAATAAAGTAAAACGAAAGACTTCTATCACATTAAATACACAAATTCCAGAATCAGAAATAGAAGATTGTCCAACATTAAAAGCACCACAAGATTTGAAGGCAGATGAAAAAGTAGTTGTTGAAAATATTGATCCAGGTAAAGCAAAAGATATTGCAGATAGAGCAGAAAAACATTTGGTTACAAATAAAAGTATTAAATCTTTTAAAATGGATGGACAATATGGAGAAAAGTATACGAAAGATAATCATAGCAATATATCATTAAAATTCCAAGATGAACATGATGAAAAAAAGTATTTGAAAGATAATCATAGCAATCAGTCATATCGCACCAGATACAGAAGAAAATCTAATAATTTTAATTATGAAAGTGAAGTTTTAAAGCAAGCTTCTATGAAATTAGAGCAATATTTAAAAGATAATGAAGATAAAAATAATGTAGACAAAATGAAATTCCTTATAAACAGTCGTACTGAGGACGAAGAAGATACCGTTTTTGAGGAAAAAGAAGATAATGAAGAAAAGGAAATGACGTTTTGTGAAAAAATTTACATATTTTTTGACTTGGATCTTTTAAAAGATTTTACATTTATTAATTTAATGTTGGGAATAACGTTAGCAAATTTTAATGAACTAAATTTTTCTATACTAACGCCATTTATTCTTGGTGATTATGGACTCTCAAAACCTGAAGTGGCTCTGTTTATGTCTCTTTTGGCTGGAATCGACCTTTGTGTTAGATTTTGCATACCATTTGTTGCGGGCAAAATAGGATGGGACAATAATTTTTTCTTTCTTTTCGGAGTTATGTCTATGGCTATGGGAAGAGTAGGTAAATATTTTTTATATTTTGAATTTATTATGTCATTAACATATTAGCCTTGGTGACTCTGAGTCCAGAAATGCCTAGTATTATCTAACAAATTATGCGTTGTTGTTTTAATCTAAAAATTTTCAAAAAAAAAAATAAGATGCACCATCATAAATTGACACTAGAAAAATCTAGTAATTATGGTGATAATTTTGTAAAATTTGTTACTTCTTGATTATATTTAATTACTCCTATGATGACAATGATATTACATAGATTGACTAAGTAGTACCTGTACAATTAGCATAAAATGTAACTTGTCTTGTAATCACGTCGATCAAGGATACACTCTAGATATATATATTCAAATCTATCCAAATATTTAAGCATAATCGAGTAGCAAATATCCAACCAGATTTACAGACTTAAATATTTATAATGTTAATATGATAACATTAACCGATGATCTAATCTTTCAGTTCTTGCATACTGTCAGTCCTACAGTGTGGTACTAATTGTAGCAGTTATGATAGGGTTTGGCAAAGGCTTGAGGACAGTGTTTATGGCTCTTGTTATACCTACCCATGTGCCTCTTCACAAGTTGCCAGGGGCGACTGGTATCCAACTGTTGACTGCTGGAATCGTATATCTTTCATTAGGACCAGTTGTAGGTAAGACATTCTACAGAATTTTTATTGTCATTATAAAAACTATATGGCACGCAGAATTTTTCATAAGAATTAGAATGCAAAGGATCCTATGTATTTTAATTATCGTACCAGATTTCAATCAAATCCGCTTATTCAAATCCGCTTAGCTATTTAATCGTAATGTAGTAACAAATATTCAAACATTATTTTAAAGTTACATCAATAATATGAATAGAATTAATAGCTAAGTATTGCAAATAAAATTTATATAAAATCTTTAAATTTTTTAAAGTTTCTCCTAAAATTTCATCAACTTATACAAACTTTTTGTAGTATTTGATTAATTATTTTGTGCATAACTATGATGCAAAAATGACTATATACATATTTTTTCACCAGATTACGTAATTTTTTTTTTTTTATATGATTAAAAAGTCTCTATATAACTGTCATGAGAAAATAATCACATACATTTCTTATTATAAGCCAATTATTTGCATGACTGTGTTTTGTTTGGAAGGTTGGATATGGCAATGAAATTACAGAATACTGAGGCTTTAGTCCTAAGAAATTTTAGTTTACTTTAGTTCTAAGAAATGGCATCACATGAAATGTATCTTAGGTAACGCAGTATACTTTGTTATGTCCATGATACTGTCCATGATATATATGCGACGCTAACCACTTTTCATCAGGAGGGCCATCAGTTTGTTTGCCATTCTAAGTTGTATAAAAAAATATTTTAAACCAACTTCAAAAAAGAGTTGGTGAATGGTATACATGTTTTTATATATCCTGTACTATTTTTATTCTCCTTTTTTCATATCTTTGCACACTGTAAATCATTGTTACTTATTATTTATTTTATCGATATAGTTAACTCCTGCATTTTTTTATACTAATTATATTAACATTGTATACGTAACAGTGTTTTAAATATTTTAATTATATAAATATCTACTTATTGTTTTTAGGTTGGATAAAAGACAACGCATCCACAGCTGTGACATTGCATTGCTTGAATATATTTACGTGGCTGACGGCTTTGTCCTGGGGTTTGGAAAAATACTTAAGAACGAGAAAACAGAAGGCTACTAATCAAGAATTAGTTAAAGCTTAAATAAATTCATTATAAATATAACTGGTACACAGCCTCAGTGACCAGTGCAAAATTAAATCTATCTTCCCGGTCACATCTTGTATTCAGAGCTTTAAAATTGATTTTTGTTTTTAATCTGTATAAAAAAAAATAGAATAAAAATAAAAAACAACACTTTAAATATCTTTGGACCAGATTTTTCGATTCTTCAAATGTTATATTGCATTTATTATTTATTTATTTAAAATGTAGACGAAATCCTTAAATTGAAGGATATAAAGTACATACGTCTCCATTTGAGAATTAGAGATGTCACCTCCCTAAAATCCTTACACTTATTTTTATAAGTAGCTAGCCTTTTTCCAGGTACTGCGTACTTACATGTGGATTTCAGAAATAAGAAAACTAATGAAGTAAACTACTTCTAGAAAACATATCAAGATAAAATGAACACCAGATTCAAAGTTCGACTATTGAAAAAGCGCAATTGTGAAAATTCTATTGGGTTTAATAGTTTTTGCGTGATGTCGATACAAAAGTACAGACACATAAAATTTTTAAAAATTATATTATATTGAGTCCTATTTTCTTTTAAAAATTCCTTATATAAATTTTTCTTAAATATCGTTCAACATCAAGAGTTTATTGACTTTTATAGGAAAAACAAATGTTGTATACACTGTCTCTATCATAAAATCAGTATCAACTCTCATGATTTGATTAAGGTTCTCAACTTAATAATTTTTGTCTAAACTTAGAGAGAAAAATGTCTGTAATGGGATTTATAAAAGGTCAAATAAAAATAGTCCATTGCCAAATATTTTAGAAGTTATTAGTAATGATTTGAAACATGGTTAAGATTAAATATTATCAAATGGCAACCCTGTCGGTCAACTGTCAAACTTGACAAATATAAGTGGTTTAGTTATCAAATATTCGCTCGAAGAGATACATTAACATCTCGAAGTAGTTTGTGCTCGAAGAATCGGACCTAGTGCAATATTTTTTTACTTCAGTGATGTTTGTATTTTAGACTTGTCTTTCATGTATTTTTCGTTTGTTTATTATTACATAATCGGTATTTTATCTACGAGTATTAGAACTTCCAGTCTTATTGGACTGTTAATACCTCGTAATATCTACATATGTAGTGATTTATTAAATGAATACATTTGGATATAATTTTGGTGTATTTTATTGATTACGGTACCTACTGAATAAATAATAATCCACTGTTTATTAATCATATAGTACATTTGAGCAAGGACACTTCCACTGTTTACGTGATCTTAAAATAGTTACACACATTTTTAAGGTTTTGTCAATTTTCAAGTAATCGTAAATTTTGTTTTACATGCGAGAATACTGCAAATCTTCAGGTAAAAATAAGTGTTTATTGTCTCCACATCTAAATTTGTCAATCGATTAATTAATAAGTTAATTACGGTAACTACAACCATTTCATTATAATTCTCATCTATCACCCTTCACTGGTACTCCGCCAGCGTATCCCGTTAGCGCAGGCGGAGTTACCATACCATTTTCACCCATCAACCCATCAAAAAAAAAACATTTCATTATTTAGAATATAAGGGTAAATGCATAGACATATTTTTTTTTACAACTTAGAATGGCAAACAAGCTGACGACCCCCCTGATGGAAAGTGGTAACCGTCGCCTATAGACATGAGCAGTACCATGGACATAACAGAGTATACTGTTTGCCCATGATACCCCCAATGCGTTGCCATTTCTGAGGACTCATATTTTATATTTCTGTACCTTGTAAATTCACGCCATATCCCGCCCTTCAAACCGAAACACAGTCATGCGAAGACAACTGCTTCACGGTAGAAACACGAATGGGACAGAGGTACCCAAGCAATCGACTTTTTTACAAAGTCTCCCTCTGGTGACTTAATGTAATGATTGACAAATGTCAAATTTACTTTTACATATTATATATTTATAAATTTTATATAAAGTTACTTATTATATATTTCTATTATTAAGTAATTTTTTTCTACAAATTTAATAAGTAATAATTAAAATCCTTATTAGATTCTACAAAATTTAAATTTCTAAATGAATTAGATTTTTAAATATGCTTTTTATCAAAATCTAAAAGTACCTAAATAATAAAATTGCAGAATTTTCTGTGCTACTTTTAATTAACAATTTATCAAAACTTATCTTACATTTAATTAACTTTAATATATATTCATGTTCAATAACTTTTTACTTGAAAGTTCTTTCATCCAGCACTATATTAGTTTCTTTTTAATAATTCAGCTCGACATTATAGGGCAAGGCCAATTTGATATGTATAGGGTGCTATAAGCAAAATCAATACACCTACCGCGTGATAGATATTCCTATAAACCAAAAAACAACTAGAAATATTGTTTAAAAAATTGTTATCAATTTTATTTTCTAACTTATCATTTTCTTACAAAAGTTTACAATTCAGAAATTCTGACGAAATCCAAACGAAATAGCAACATAAAACAAAAATCAAGGTAAACCATACGTCATGCAAAATTTACGAGTAATTGTTTGATTAAATTATTATTAACGATAAGAGTAGCAATCACACACTGATACAAGAGATACATAATGATATACCTACTTACAAATATCCGCCTCCTAGTAACTGTGCAAAAACTGTAGATACGAATACACTTGTAGTGTAAATATATGGTGTACTTAATTATTTTTGTAAGAATTCCTCGTACAGTGAATGGGTCCTTGTAATATTTATTAGACAACTTCAAAAAGAAAAGGCTCTCAAAATGCTACTATTAAAGGTTTGATTGCGATGGGACTGCATTTTTTTAACAATTATTTTCTGCCAAAAATGAAATATCAATCTTAACAAAATATTATATAAATAAGATGATAGTACAGTGCCTTATACTTCTTGAGATTTGGGAAGTTTTCCAAACCTTTCCTGAAAATAACTTTTCTTTCGCATTCCGAAAATAATTCTTAAACCGCAAGAGAATATTCTTTTAATAGTAAATAATATTCCACAAATGTTCAAAATATAGCCCACGGATTCTATGTTTCTTTACACCACACCTAGGAGGCAAATCTTTGCTATTCTCTCTATGCAACTGTTGGATTTCCTAGTAATATTTTTATACCAAATTATTTTAATATTTCCGATAGAATAATTAAATATCTACATCTTAAGCATTTTCTCTTATCATCTGCACTTTTATTAAGTACCTGCCCTCCGATATTTTGTGCAGATATTTAATAGTCAAGGATATAAACTCCTTGATATTTAGTTTTAAATAAAAACTTTCATATTTTTTCTTTTTGATATGACAAAGTAACTACTGCTTTTCTTAATACTAAAATTCAGAAATAAAAATAAGTTAATCTTATGCAAAGACTAAGATTAGTACCTTACCCTGCCTAACCCCAAACTTGGAAGGGGGGAAAGGGATTGTTAGTAATGGGGTCTAACTGTCCCATTGCTAGCAATATACCCTATCAGGTCGACCTCCACGTGGTTTCTCCTGGAAACCATCGTGGTTAATTCTAGTGCAATTCATCACAATGGGCTAACTGACCTGCTTTCATCGTCACCTATCATCCCTCACTGGTGCCCCGCCAGCGTATACCGTTAGCTCAGGCTACTATTCCATTATCATCCATTAAAAAAAACCCAAACTTGGTGAATTTATTATCATTTTCAACTACCTATAACGCTTTTTCCGTATTCGAAATAGAATTCATATTATTAAAGATTTTATTTACACCACGTATGTTAACAATTGTATCACAGTTAACTACTATTTAAATAGTGTCGCGTCGCAAAAATATGAAATATGTCGTAATCGTGTGACTCATTTACAGTGTTATATTAGTATGTTCTATTGTGAACCATCAGTTTCATTCATATCGTATTCAAAGAATAACGTGTTAATAGATCTCACCAAAATCGATCGGCTTTACAATAAGGTTGTTTTATTTACAGAAAATTATGAAAACTAAAAGAATTAAATCGAAATTGAAAACTGATGGAGAATTTATCCCACCTGATGGAGGATGGGGTTGGATGATTATTTTTGCCGCTGGTATTTCTAATGTAAGTATACATTAACGTTATTATATTAAATCCATAATGACCCCTCCCTACTTATTATGAAACTACAGGTTATTGAGTACTGGATAAGTTCACCATTTAATCATGTGCCGTTGAATTTTTCATAATATTCATTATGCGTAATATTTATAAGTTTTTCATGACTTTGATAACATGACTTCATCTTCCAGCTATCAACATTACCCATTCTCCAGCAATTTGGTCTGCTATGCAGAGACAAACTCGCTCGTCTCGGAATCTCCAGCTCAGAGACAACGACCATTTTGAACATGAATTTCGCAATGACTTCTTGCGCTGGTTAGTTATACGCCGTTCGTAACGTCTATAACACAACTAAAACTTTATGAAAGAAACAAAACAATTATGAATATAAGAATTTTGTTACTTACTTTTTAACCGACATCAAAAAGATTATATTTTTATGTATCTCTATAGTAGCGCCGATTACAACTTCTAAAATGGCTTGTACCGTAGACCAATAATATGCCTTTTTTATCGTGGGGAAATGCATCATGCAGACCCATATGCCCCGGGGGAGGCGTATGGGTACTGCCGGACTCCTACCGGCTAAAACCACCACGGCATCCCTCGCCGTGCCAAAGTGTTGGGGACCCGGGAGACCAATAATATGCCTATATCAAGTATTGCTAAGAGATTATTAGCTAACAAATACCTACTTAGTATATATGTTACTATTTACAAAAACACTAGTTACATTTAATTACTTATCTACCTATTTTACAAATTAAAATACTTACGTTATGAAAGTCTAACTTTTACTTCTTTTTCTTCAGAATTTAAAAAAGGATCATCTGCTATTGCAAACTAATCTTTTGTAAATATTTAATATATATTGTTTTTATTATATTTTTATATTGTATTTGTAATTAATTTTACAGGTCTGATCAATGGTCCTATGTTTAAAACATTCAGCTATCGACAAGTTTCATTAACAGGGGCAATAATTGTATTTATTTCGCTCATGCTAACTACATTTTCCTACAATTTTATCACTTATCTAGTATTTTTCTCTATACTATATGGTAAGTTTACTGTTAAAATAAAGGTTAGACGTACTCGTATATCGCTATTATGAAAAAATATTTCCCTAAACATATTTTATTTACAGGTTTTGGATATGGCATTAGTAGTTCAGCTAATGCTCTTGCATTAAATACCTACTGGAAAGATCGAAGAAGGTTAGCAACTGGTCTATCTTGGACCATAACTGGTTTGGGTCCTGTGGTGTGGCCACACATAGTAACAACATTATTTGTTGTATTCGGAGAAACAGGAACGGTCCTCATATTAAGTGGAATATCATTGCATGCGATAGCATGTGCACTTTTATTACAGCCAATTGAATGGCATAGTGAAAAACCTAATGCAAAAGAAGCAACAATTTTCAAATTAGATCATGATAATAAATCATTACAAAATGAAAAAACTTATTTAGATGAAAATAAACTAAAAGAAAGTGGTTATGATAGCCCTACGAAAAATAATTTAAGCGCATTTTCAAGTCAATATCTTTATAACGAAAAGCATCCGATTAACGCTGGTATTGAAATAATAGACCCTGAAATACCAATTTCAGTGTGTCCTAGTGACAGTCAATCAATACAATCCAGAAGTAGACTGTCCTCTATAGATGCCTCCGCGAAGTATACTCGTCAAAATTCAAAGAAACATTCAGTAACAAATTTATCACGATGTCGATCTCGTGAATCATCAATATTGAACCTAAAAGAATTAAAAATTAATTCTACTGTAGATCTTGGAGCTTATACTAATGAAAACGATAAGTTTTCAAACTCTATAAAATTAAATATGCAAATTCCAGAATCAGAAAAAGAGGACTTAATAGCTTCCCAAAATTCAAAGATCTATGTAAAAGCAATTGTTGAAAATATCGATTCAAATAAAGTTAAAGATATTGAAAATAGGTCTGCAAAAAGTATTAAATCTCTTATAATGAATGAGCAACATGAACAAAACTATTCACAAGATAGTTATAACAATATAGAAAATGATAGTAATAGACATTTCCAGGAAATTTGTAATAATCAATCATATAATACCAAACACAGAAAAAATTCTAACAATTTTAATTACGATAATGAACTTTTAAAACAAGCTTCAGTAAAATTACAATATTTAAAAGATAATAATTATATTGACAACATTAATTTGCTGTCTAAAAATAACAATACAGAAGATAAAAAAGAGATTGAAGATAAACAAGACATTACTGAAGAAAAGGAATTGACTTTTTCTGAGAAAATTTACATGTATTTCGATTTGGATCTTCTAAAAGATTTTACATATATTAATCTTATGTTGGGAATAACATTATCCAATTTCAATGAACTAAATTTCTCAGTACTAACGCCTTTTATTCTTGGTGACCATGGTTTTTCAAAAACTGAAGTAGCTTATTATATGTCTCTTCTGGCTGGTATTGATATTTCTGTTAGATTTTGCACACCATTTGTGGCTAGTAAAATAGGATGGGATAACAATACTTTCTATCTCATAGGAGTTATATTTATGGCTATGGGGAGAGTAGGTAAATATATTCATCTATTAATTTAATTTCTTAATAACAGCCATGCCAAATTTCTCATTTTTACATTGTAGTATTATATTCTCATATTAATTGTAAGTAATGAAACAAGGAAAATCTAAAAACGATTATTCGTATAACACAATATCGGTACAATTATAAAACAAAAATCATTTTCTAAGTTAAATTGACCTTCCCGGTCAATTTTGAACTCTAAACTTGATTTACGCAGAGCAACTACTACGACTACCGCTACGAAGGTTTTCATTTTTAAGTGGGTACTTTCGTTATTAAAAATACTCGTATCATAATATATAATTTTAAAATGATTGCCACTTGCTTTGCATCTAGGAAAGAATGTAACGCTGTCGTCCGGTAAGTCATGTCGGAGGTCAGAAACTTAACATCAAAGGGCGCCTTACACGAGTAAAAGTAGGTACCTACCTAGTAATAGTATTATTAGGGTGGTTGTCACCAAACAAAATTCGAAAAGAAATACTAGATAGCGATGGAATCAATACTCGTGGATTTTGATAATTATTATAATTAAAGACAATTTGAAGTAACATTTCTTAATTTTCGAATAGTTTTTATAAATATATATGAATATCAAGTGACATAATATGTGATCTTTTCTTGATTGAATCGTAACCCACACAATCGCAATATTTCTTGCAAGTATATATTTTTTTATAATGTTGTACAATACAAGAGAATAAAGACACAAATTATATTAAATTGTTACTATATCTGTAAAAAATCAATAACCACTCGACAATATAGAAATTTTGCCACATATTATTTTTAATTACAAAATAATTAACAAAAACTACAAGTCTCAATTCAAGCGCCATCCAGTATTCCCTTTCCATTTATGTTTTGTGACGAACCACCTAAACTTATTTTTATATTTCCGGTCGTCTTTACATCATAAAATTTTAAGTAAGTACCATAAAATGGGATTGAGTTGGTTTAAAAATAAAAAGGTCTACCAACTTAAGAACCGATTACATTTTGAATAAACCTACACTTTATTCAGATTAAGCTGGACCGCAGATACTATCTTTAATTTCTGGATAAGGCTGTTCAAATTTAAGAACTAGAATATAGAAAACAATTGGTACTGACTATTTCCAATGATTTTTTAATATAAAACCGGTTAGGTGCAAGTGAGTGAATAAGTGAGTGCGTTCATCACTCGCCGAAGATTCCCTGCAAATCATATAAATACGCCTAATACTTATTGTTATAGATACTGCAATTCAGAATTTCTTATTTCAAGCCATAATTGTGGTTAAAAAATGTACCACAAAACTGAGTTTGTTCTTGTAGGATTGTATATTATTATTAGGTACATTTTTAAAGTACCTAATAATAATATATATATTAACCTACCTAACTTGAATACGTAATATTAACAAGTTGACGAATACATTTATAAAATTCAAATTACTAACATCATAAGGCGTAATAAGTTTAGTCTTAAAAATTAAGCAGTTTCTACAGGATAATGTGATCAGGAATAGAAATTACTAGTCTTCTTTAAAATGAAAGTGACAATCTTATGGCCTGCCTGTTATTCGACGGTGACCTCATGTGTCCATCTCCAAAGGACCAGGGGATTTAAAACAGCAACTTAAATACAATGATTAAATTTATATGCTAATAGATATAGTTTCATAGGGTGATTTAGACCGCTATTAAAGGATGCTACGTAAGAGTGAAATAGAATTCAACAACGTCAACAAGAATTAACTACTGTGACTTTTAGGAGGAACCGCGTGAAAGTCAATTTAACAGAGTACGAGTATATTGCTAGCAATGGAGCCGCCAATATCCGTAAATGAAATACTTCCGCTCCCAACCTTCTTAGTAGATTTATATGCAATTACAATTAATATATCTTAGTATACTTATAATCAACTACTTAATCTAACTTAAAATAATCCACCAGTATCGGTAGAAAAATAAGGTCTGACACTTTATCTAAAATTCCAATTTACAATACAAAATAATAGTCAGGAAGTTTAAGAATTATTAATATTAATTATAGCGAATATTAGTTATAACTTATAACTAACATTAACTATTATTTTACAGTAATTATAATGCAAGCTTATTAAAAGAAATATATTTGTAATTGTGTTTAACCTATTTTCTGATCGAAAGCAAAAAAACTTTGCTCCTTAGTGGGCCTTATCTAAAATATACCAGCTATTGATTTTAGATCAGTGATCCATCATATCAATGCAGTGATCTTTCCTGTCTCCATTTCTTTTCAATACCCAAGTATATAGTGATACTCACTTATAAGTAATACTGTATATCATCTATTGCGTGTTTATAATTCAACTTTCTGGCTTCTCATCTAATAGACATGGTAATTGTACCAGATAAACATATCTAACTATAGAGATGATTTAATTTTAGTGGTAGGCTTACATATGTAGGTAGGCACTATTTACAAAAACTGTAAAATATATTTCTACAATATTATAATTATGTATTTCTAAGCCTATTGTTATGTTTATTGCTGGAGTATATTCTACTAAGTCAACCTCCACCTTGATGCGGCCTAGAAACTTCTTAATTGCTAATGAATTCGTCAGGGTAGGCCAACTAACCTGCTTTCTTTCTATCATCCCCCACTGGTGCCCGTCAGCGTAGTGGAGGCACAGTTACCATTCCATTTTAATCTCATTAAAAAAACACTGAAACAAACATGAACATTAAATATCACGTATCAAAATATTATTAAAATATGAAAATTATAAGGCTATAATCAATGTGTAATTTAAAAATTTCGAATCATTTTAATTTTGAACCTGCCATTTGATATTAGCTAATTTTATTTTCATTCCATAATTTGGAACACTATACCTATGTGTTAAAATAATAAAACAGATATAAAAAAAATACAATAAATAAAACAAACGACCCTAAATAAATCAAAAGATGCAAACTTAAGAATAAAGCATTAAAATAATAATAACACATGCATTTAATACATACATATCTGTCACACATGTCACATGTTTTGTTCCCCTAATATCCTCCTATAATATAATATCATAGGAGGATATTAAGTACGTAAAGGACCGATGGTCGATTCATTATATTTATACTTTGTCCATGTAAGGAGAGTGTGATTACAGTGTTATATGTTACAATATGACAATACTGGCAAATCTCCCCTTATGGGAAAGGCTTATATTTAGCAGAGAACAGTTTACGACTAAAATGATGATGATGTTACAATGGGATCGATTTTGAAGTGCCATTTCTTTAAACCTATTTATAACATTAAATTTTCAGTTTGATATCATAGCGAAATCTTTCTTATGAAAATCAATGTGAACTTATCTTCTAATATAATTAAATTAAAATTTTTATAATTTTAGTTCATTACGATTATATAAAAATAGTAATTTCACGAAATTATTAAATTAAAACATTAGGTTAAGATTTAGAAAATTGCATCTCAGAATCGGCCTCAATGTACACAGTATAAAAATTTGTGTTTACGATGTATAATAAGACTCTACAGATACAGAATTAATACAAAAATCATCAGTCATTAAAAAAATTAAAGGCATTGAAAGTATGAAATTAATATCATTTAATGTTATACTTTTCAGTTTTAGCCCACTTTGAATCCTACAACGCGATACTCCTCGTAGCAGTTATTGTAGGCTTTGGCAAAGGTATGAGAACAGTGTTCATGGCCTTGGTTTTACCTACTCATGTACCCCTTCACAAGTTGCCAGGAGCGACCGGCCTTCAGCTATTGACTGCTGGAATAGTCTACCTTACATTAGGACCGGTTGTAGGTAGGTACTAAAATTTAGTTCATACAAAGTTTTACATACTCATAAGATTTTTTAAACCCTTTCTTTATGAAAGTGTTTAAAAAATTACTTAAGCAGAAAAGAGAACAATTATCAGTCCTAGTGGGTAATTTCTGGTGAATTCTACATGATGAGTCAACTGACCTGTCTTCAACCTCACCTGTCATCCCTAACTGGTAACACGACAGCGTAGGCGCCGTTTAAATCCATTTCATATATGCATATAATTAATGTGTACTTTAATTTTATCAGGTTGGATCAAAGACAACGCATCCACAGCTGTGACGTTGCATTGTCTTAATATATTCACATGGTTGACCGTCTTGTCATGGACTCTAGAGAAATACTACAGATCAAGGAAACAAAGTGCTGATACAACAACTGGATCTACTTGACTTTACTAATTTATCATAACTTAAAATTTCTTAATGCATCTTATATTTTTATAAAAAAGAGTATTTTTTATTATATACATATATATCATCTGCAGCTGCTAATATTATCATATAATATTATATATTATACATATATAAGCTATTTCTAACAGAACATTACGTGTCAATGTGTTTAAACCGATAGGTTCCTATCTTATATAACACTGATCTGAATTTATCTATAGATTTATCTTTATGTACTCGTAATTGGCAGAACCTATTAATATACGGTTCATTGAATTATAACGGTACGAATATATCATGTAACAGATATAGTATTGGTAATATAAGTGAGCTATAAATAGCTCTTTGGAATAGAGAAAAAGAACTTTATTTTTTTATATATATAAAATTAAGCAATAAATTAAAATTTTATTATTATATCAATATATTGATGATTTATATTTCTCATAAAAAAATACTAACTAAAAACATTGCTTAATAACCCAAAATAATATTTATAAATTTGTGAACCTAACGGACATTTTTTTCTGTTTACAGTAAAATATGTACCTTTTATACTATTATGTTTAAACCGCACGTGATAGCTTTTATAAATTTTATTTATAATTTAAGTATTCAATCACGTAATGTTATTTAATATATTTGTACTTTGTTCCACTATATTTATTAAAATGTATTTATTATTTATATATACAACGAGTTTTGTAACGTCGTTCTCTGTACTTATTTATCAATCAACGTTTAAAATTTCAGTATTATTAGATTGTTATTAATGTGATTGTTGTTCTCAAATTATTATTGTTCTTTAATTTACACACCAGAAATAGTAAAAGTCGGCAATTGCAAAAAATGTAATTATCATACCAAACATTATGCGTAGATATCTTATTCCAAACCAATTAATTATTGTTCCATACATCCATAGCATTAGATAACTGATACATTCTTTATATAAATCTCCGACCAATATATTTTTGTACTTGTTATAGCTGTATATTTGTTAAAATGACGGTAGATGTAAAATTTTAAACACCAAAATATTTGCAAGCAAAGATTTTCTTGTTCAGGTTATTGCATTTTGCCATTCTAAACTATTGTGCCTTTGCCGTTCCTACTTCACTTATGAAAAGACTGAGGCGCCTTTACTTACATTATTTTTTTAAGTAGATAGATTTACCAAAATCATAGAACTAATTTAATTTGACAAGAAAATACTAGTGTCAATATTAATAATAATACAACTTTATTAACAAATACAGGGTTCTCAATAAGAACGATCCATTCATTTGTTACTTAATTTTTTCGTTCATTCATGTACTTGTAATTTATTTGTCATATTGTCTCACTATATATTCTCTAAAGTCAACGAACGAACATAAATTGATTTATTTTTAAAATTCTATATTATATCTTTAATCCTGTTAAAATATAATAAATATTGGTTCAGAATATTTGTAATTACACATAAAAAACGATACAGGGAAAATTTAAATCTAAGCAGATAGACAGAATAAATAAAAATAGGTTAAAATATCATTAACAACAATTTTGTATAATGCAAAGGTTTATATTGCAACTAGAAGTGTTTTAAGAAAATATACTTTTTATTAAAATAGGTTCTGAAATAAATTTGTAGTTTCTTACATGTTTTCGCAATTTACAACGATTAGTAAATATAAAAATTGCCGATAAATATAATACGAAAAATAAAATTATTTTAATTTATAAGATTGTCATAAAAATTTTAAGTTTATGAATGTAGAATAATAGTATTTTTTAATAAATAAAAAAATATTATTATAATTGTCCTTTATTTCTAATATTGAACGGAATTACTTTCGATTAAACTAATGTAATATACGTTACCCAATTGACCGGAACGGTTAATCAAGGATCCCTATTAAATTAGGAGTCAGTAAGAGGGAACCCCACCTCTGTGTCAACCGCTGTTTGTCATATAGTCAGAAATTGTTTTTTTTAAATAGTAGTTTAAAGACATATTTTTACATACCAGCAGTAAAATAAGGATATATATTTGAACCACAAATAGTGAGTGTAATAAATAATAAAATAAAAGTGCTCGTGTAATGCAGAGAATATTATAATTAATAATATTACATCTGCTTAAGAAGTCCACTCGAATGTGTTTTTATAAAGAAACAAAATTCGATCAAGAACTGTTGTTTCTAGTAAAAGAGTAAGTAACTTTATTAACAAGAGCCTAGTCTTATTTTATTTATTGATTAAATACCGTAATATTTATATAATTGTGAAAACGCCTGACGTATAAAGAGCAGCTCGCATCGTTTTTGCGACACTTCACTCGTTCATCAGAAACAGGCCATTTGAAACAAAATTACGATTCGATTTAGGTAGAAGCACCATTCTAAAATTAAAATTTTAATTCGATATTTCAATAATGTGATTATTTAAACGACCAGTATAAATTATTTTTTTAGTAGAACTGCATCCAAACTGAATAAGGTACATTTAATTCTCTATGGTATACCCGTAGCGCAGACGGGGGGTTTTTAATGGATGGTAGATAATGGAATTGTAACCCCGCTTCCGTTAACGGTATATGCTGGCAAGGCATCAGTGGAAGATGATATGTGAGAATGAAAAAGCATGACAGTTAAGCCATCGTCATGAATACACTTGGAATTCAACACGATAGTTTCCAGAGAGGACCACTTGGAGGTCGACCTGGGAGGATATATTGTTAGCAATGGGACTGGCACTCTACATTACTAACAATCTCTACACCCCCCCCCCCCCCCCAGACGAGGTTACTGTTCCATTATCCTACATATAAAAATATACTTTTATCTTTTTCTGATACTCCGCCAGGTTAAACCGATAGTACATGCAGCATTAGTATTTCATTACCATTTACAAAAAATCTATTGGCCGAGTCATTGCCTATTAGAGGAGGTATTTAGCCTTCCACTTATATATGAATTATGATTATAATAGTGTAATGCCATAGAAACTGTGACAACAGAGTCAGATAACAGTTGACAGTGATCCAGAAATTTCATAATCGAATCTCAATTTAGCCTGCTAAGGCTATGAATTTAAAAAATCACCTTTCATTCGTTTAAAAATTTTAGTCACTAACTTCGTGCTTCTGAGGATATTCTTAACACCAAGAAACGCCACTTAAATAGGAAAAGTAATGAAAACTCTATTCTTTCTCTCGAAGAAAAGTAATAAAATTATTATCGAAGAAAAGTAATAAAATATTAATACTACTATTATAATATTAATATACTATATTAACTACTAAAGTCTATACCGTAAAATGACCTTTACGATCACTTTCTCAGTGCCTCTACATTCTAACAGATAAGAACCAATTATACTGGTTCTATCTATATAGAATATTGCACAATATTCCCCATAGAAACATTATTGTTACTTAATTAATGTATTACTAATATTGTCATGTTTCTGTATCAATATTATCAAGTAAATAATACGTTGATCCGATAATATCAATAAAATACGATCGTTGTTTCCGATACGTTATAATACGCTGCGTGACTGCTTTATCGCTGATAATTCACTCCGTAATTTATAATTATTAATTTATTATACCAACTGAATACCTAACGCTTGATATTTTGTGTTGAGTGAACCGCAACCTAATTTGTTATCATTAACCTGACCCGTCTTTATTCGACTTTAATATGTATACATACACATATATAAATATTTTTACCACAACAAGTACATTTTTTCTATATTTCCAGTCATAACATTTTTATATTCAACAATTTCTACACACCTTAAGGAATCATATCAACATCATTAACATCCTTTTAAAAAAAGTTTTCTGCCACTAAAACTTAATATTATTCCATTAGAAACATAATTTAAATAATAAAAAAAAACTATTAAATTTCCCAACTTATTCGATAGCTAAACATGTCGCGCGTCAGCATAGTTTCAAAATTAGTTATACTTTTTGCTTCTATGGGAAAATGTTTGATTTTACTAGTAAAATACTCTCATATACGATAAACGCATACGCGTGAATTTCAAAAGTAAAAAACCAATGAAATAAATCAATTATAGATAGTATATCAAGATAAAAAATATACAAAATATTTAGTAGAACTCCAGAAAAACAACTGAAAACCGCATCTAATTTGGTACCATAGTTTTTGAGTATTGCCATAACAAACATACAATACAAACAGACAGAAAAAATAATTCAAAAAAATTATTGTTCTGGACTTAATTCATCTAATACACCTCATATAATTTTTCTTAAATATCTTCCATGTAAGCAAATATCTAAGTAAGCAAATATCGTCTATTTACAATTTTATTATATTACATAATAACATATTTTTACTTATTACTTAATTACCTAATAGAGGATTACTATTAATTACAAAATGTAACTAGGTAAAATACATATAACATTTGCCGTAAACATTATATCCTATCGCGAAACTATGATAGATATGTCATTCGTATGTCATTGACTCTTATTTAGTGCAATAAATTATTTGTATAGCTGGTACAAGATGCAGAAAAAAATGTTATCTTTTTATTGTAAATTTTTCCTCAAATTACAGCGGCAGGTACTTACTGAACGAGTAAATAATACGTCGAACAAACTTAGTTTCTGACACTATCTAAATAGCCTGATTATACTTTTTAATGGATGATAATGCAATGGTAGCCCCGCGTGCGCTAACGTTATACACTGGCGGGACATCAGTGAAGGATGATAGTTAAGCAAGAAGCAGGTCAATTGACCTATAGTAACTAATTCAGCAAGGGGGGAAAGGGATTGTAAGTAATGGAGACTGAGAATCCCATTACTAGCAATATACCCAACCAGGTCGACCTCTTCGCGGTTCTCCCTGGAAACTATCATGGTTAATTCCTGATGAATTCATCATGATGGGCTAACTGGCCTGTTTTCATTCTCATCTATCACCCTTCACTGGTGCTCCGCCAGCGTATCACATTAGCACAGGCGGGGTTACCACAGCATTTTCACCCATCAAAAAAAAACTATTTCAGCAATAAATAAATCCCAATAGATTCCAGGGCAACCGCGTGAAAGTCGACCGGATAGGGTATATAGTTAGCAATGCGACTGTTAATTCCCATTACTACTAATCCCTTCTCTCCCAACCTGATGATATTAACCATATTTGTAGTATCAAAGCTTTTTTACTGATCAAAATGGGATTACGTCCCTCCCGCACTATTGTATTATACTGTCGGGGTATCATACTCATGGATAAATAGATAAGGTTGAAATTTATTACGTCCCATCGTGACATCATCGATAGTGACCAGGACAGCGTACAACGCGGTTTCAGAGATGTTTTCTCCCACGAATACTCAGGTTATGGAATGAGCTCCCTGCCGAGGTTTTCCCAAGAGACTACAGCATGAGATTCTTCAAAAGGGAGGTAAAAGGTTTCTTCATGGTCGGCAACGCGCGCGTAATACCTCTGGTATTGCAGGCATTCATAGGCTACGGTAACCGCTTACTATCAGGTGGGCCGTATGCTTGTTTGCCACCTAAGTGGTATAAAAAAAACTAGCGATTCCTTGGAGGACCGCGTGAAGGTCAAGTTAAAGGGGTATCTTTTTTCAACAATACTTACTTAATATTATAAATGCGAAAGTGAGTTTCTTATTTGTTACCTCATAATATCTTAACCAATCACTATGAAATTTGGTATGCGCATACCTACTACATGGAATGAAGATGAACATAGACTACTGTTTATCCCGATCAGTAAAATATTCTGATGATACTGGACGAGGTCTTGGGGAAAAGCTAGTATTAATATAAAATAGGTGATATCATGAACAATTCCCACTAAAGTTATGCTAAGAAAGTTTTACCTATCATATCATTATATCAGCCGTTAAGTATCCAGTGCCGAACATAGGACTCCTGCTAGTGGATGGGTTTTGCCGGGTTGGCAAATGTAGTTTTTTTTTTTTTAATGGATGATAATGGATTAATCCCACCCGCGCTATCAGTATACACTGGCGGGCACCGGTGAAAGATAACAGGTGAGGATGAAACAGGTCAGTTAGCCCATCGTGATGAATTCAACAAGAATTGTTCACGATGGTTCCCAGGGGGAACCACGTGGAGGTCGACCTAATAGAGCATATTGCTAGCAACGAGGCTGTCAAACTCCATTGCTAACGATCTCTTTCCCTCCGGCAAATGTAGTTAGGTTTTGGTGATGTTTTAAAAGGGACGCTGTTACCCATCCCTCGACCATTAGGTTCCCTTAGTCGCCTCTTATAATGGAAAAGAATGGAGTAACCCATTCTATGCCGGGACCACACGGCGGAGTTATACCTAGATAGATATTTATTTTTCAAAGCCAGACTGCAATGTGGTCACACATTTTTGCTAAGGTCAGTAGACGTCTAACACCAACCATGAAGTGAAAATATAAAATTTTCACATACATTGTGTTTTACCTGAATAAAGAATTTTGAATTTCCAGAACTGACTCCATGCATAAGGCGAATTATTAAAATACTTATAAAAAGAAATGTGTGAAAATGTAGGCCTCTGGCGGACTGATCTTTTGTCTTACTCCATAACCTCGGGTGTAGATAATTAATACTATTCCCCATTTACGAATAAAAATTCTTCTCGTTTTAAATTCCGTTAAAAAACTCAAATTTAAAATAATTGTCTGACACACAAACATTCAGATTCATTCCGTTCCAAATTAAATAGTTCTTTACTGACCTTATTGCTTCAAACCACATGTTAAATAAACATACTAATGTGTAAATACTCTAAACTTGATAACGGAGTACATTTATAAAAGTCAAACCGATAAGGTGTCTGTGTAAGTTCTATTTGTCACTCATTTATTACTTAATGAGCGTAGAGTATTAACGCTTTGTTCTATTTGAACTTACAGGTAAATACTGTGACAAAAATCCAGTACTGTGATAAGTAGTTAACAATTTTGAAAATGATGAAATGCAATAATTGTACAATTCTAATTTTAAAGATGTGATGGACCAAAACAATCAATATGTCGAAGAAAGTGAACAAAATTCCACCAGATGGAGGTTACGGGTGGGTTGTGACATTTGCATATGCTCTTAACAATGTAAGTAACAACTTTAGAATTATATTAATATTTATTTAATTGATTTTAGATATTTATAATAACATAAGCTCTAAAAATATTTTAATTTACCAATTGAATTAAGATTCTGTATAGACAAAGCCTAGTTGCTTCCATATATTGTGTTTACATTTGATTAAAATCAGTGGTTTATTCATTCGAATAAGAGATCAAGTTATATTTCATTTCTTGCCTGTTCTTGCTATTTAACTTAGAAACAAACTAACGGCCAGCCTGATGAAAAGTAGTATGTAAATAACCATCGCTTATAGACATACTCCATACCATGAACACCACAGAAAACATAGATTTTAGGTTTAAATAACTTAAATAATCAACTAAAGCTAATGTATTATTGTGGATCCAAGCAATAGTTAATACGAGTAAACCCTATTATACTATACTATATTAATATACTTTACTATATAATATACTGTAATATATAATATACTGTAATCTATACAATATACTATATTATAGTACATTGAGACACATTTTGCCTATCAGAAAAGTATTACTTAAATAATGTATACTGTGATTATTTTTAACTTTATCTTTCTTTATTTATACGTACACGCATGTTATTACGATTTTGATTACAATAACTATACCTAAGTATTTAAAAGAATTGAAAGGAATTGTATAAGAAGTAGATTTGACTATACTCGTAATATAATTGATAATTAAAAGGATTTATGTTAATTTACCTATTCAATATGTATTCATAGATTACCAAATTCAAAACAGGAAATACAAAACAGGTAGCATTGTCATGTAAATTATTCTTTATAGTTACTGACAATTGAACATACAATATTTCTTCCTCTATCTTTAAATATATAATTGTAGCTCTTGTTTTTTTTTTTATTGAAGACGTGTTCCTAAATATATATCTATTCGTCATAAACAACATATATTTGTAAGTTTAAAAATATTATTGTTTTTACGATTTTGAGACAAATATGTGTGCTAAATAATAATAAACAGTATAGCAGCATTTAAAAAGTGGTACCATTTGGTCCTGTAAGATTAATCAGTTCCTTTGTACCATTTCTACATATTCTTGTTTCATGCAGTGCAATGAACTTGTTGCATGCTCATAGCTCGAAGGTTGAGTAACCAATTACGGGAAATAACACTAATAATAATAGATACACATAATTATCAATCTCATAAATTAAGACAATAATATATTTAGATATATCTGGAAATCCAAAAATGTGCCGCATACTTATCAGATATTTCAAATTCTTTTACATTATTTTAGGTTGTGGTACTCCCACTTATTGCTGGATTCGCGTTAGTATTTCAAGAGGCTTTTGCTGAAACGAATTTGACAGCTACTCAAGGATCTCTAGTCATAATTCTCAACCATGGAATGGGAATGTTACTTTCATTTTTCGCCGGCCCCGTGTTACAACGCTTCGGGTACAGAAAAGTTGCAGTCACTGGAGCCCTTTTTATATCGGCCGGATTAATGTTGACCTCAGTCTCATCTAGTTTCTGGCTATTCATATTATCCTACAGTATTATTAATTGTAAGTAATGGGCATTAAGAAAATATTTTTTATTGTCGTACTTTTTTTTTACATATTTCTGGTCATTTGACCTCAATGGCGCCGTGATGAGCACGTTGCTTTGCGTAAATGAGGTCACAGATTTGATTCCCGGTCAGGCAAATTTAGATATTTGTTATCTGGTTTCTCATACCATAGGATATACTAGCTTAAGGACTAGACAATTGGTGTAATAGTGTTATAATTATTGTCATTATTTTTATTTTCTTTTCAGCTATGGGTATTGCTGCAGTAATGGCGGCTTTCTCTTTAGCAATTAATTCATTTTTCAAAGAAAAAAGAGGAAGGGCTATTGGAGCAGGCATGTCAATTACTGGCTTGGGAAGTATATTTATGCCATTGTTGATGAGCACCCTCATTTACGCATATGGCTGGAGGTATGCTGTACTTATACTTAGTGCCATTTGTTTGCACTCATTAGTAGGAGCATGTTTACTTAGACCAGCGAAATGGTATCTAAAGGATCCACCAGCACCTGAAGAAGAGATGGTGCCATTGAACAAAGAAATATGCATAGAACTAGTCAACGATAGCATTACAACGTCCTCAAAACAAACTGGTAAGTACATTTGTTTTAAATTACTATCTAACTATCTAACGCATAATGTATTTCTTTGTATTTATTTATGTAAATGCGTATAATATTTTTATTATTATTACATCAGCCATTACCTGTCTACTGCTATAAAGAAGTTTTGCCAGTAGGTTTCTCGCTTAGCAGGTAGGTTGGCAACCGCAGTTAGACTTTGGTGATGTTTTAAGAGAGATACTGCTGCCCATCCCTCGACCATTAAGTGCCTCTTACGACATCTACGGAAAAGAAAAAGCCCATTCTATGTTAAGATCATACGGCACACGGCATATAATATTACAGTGTATTTTTTTAAAGTTTTACATTTTATCATTTATTAATTAAAAATAATATTAATTGATTACCTCCTTATATTTATCACATTGTCACATTGTTTTCAAAGTCAACACCCGTTAGATGACCTATGATCCATTAGAGTAGCTTACTTAAAAACAATTTCTTTTTGAATTTAATGATATATATTTCTGTTTTCCAGGTAATAATACGTTATTACCTCAGTTAGAAGAATCATCATCTCCGTCTATAGAAAATGGTTTGCCGCAACCTAAAAGTTTATCAATGAGGTCTTTGAAAAGCAGTACAAGTCTGGAATCGAGAAATGCTATATCACATCCAGATATAAGCAAAAATTCTCCTGAACCACCATTATCTGATTCACGATACAAATGGTGGGAATCTCAAGAAATAAATTTAGGCAGTTCTATAAATATTTTTAATGAAACGAAACCTGATAAACAAACAAATGAATATAATCTTAGAACAACAGAAGAAGTAGAAGAACCGAAAACATTCTTTAAAAAATTTGTTCAATTCTTTGATTTAACGTTATTAAGTGATCCAGTATTTGTAAACATTTTGATTGGTCTCTCTGTGGCTGGATGCGTAGAAACCAATTTTTCTCTATTACTGCCAATAATTCTTAAGGATTTGTTACAATTTAACACAGGAGAAATTGCCCAGATTATGGCGGTCATCGGTTTTTCTGACACCTTGTTTCGTTTCGTATCTCCATTCATTGGAGAATGGTGTAATAAACCACCAAGGGTCATGTATATTGTCGGTTTACTACTTATCATCTTCGTTAGAACGAGTAAGTAGGTATATATTTATTTCTTTAATAATTTAAGCCTTCATCTTTCTTTTGTTTGTCCTAATTCTCACATGTATGAAAAAGAACACTTTTAGAATAATAAAAAAAGATCTCATTTACTTGAACTTGGAACAGTACTATTATATTTACTTACATAAACGTTTCTATGTAGAAAAATATATCATAACGCTATTTGCTCATCTGACATATATATCATGCACGCCATCACTGAACGCAACATGAATCGGGATAAAAGTAGCTTATGTCCTTTTCCATCTCATATAACACGTGTATACCACTTTTTTTTTGTGACTGATTAAAAAGTTAAAGTTAAAGTGCTAAAAGGTAACAAACAAACAAATTCACTTTCACATTTATAATATTAGTAATAATATACGTATATTTCAGTCATCAACAATAGATAGATAGATAATAATATATTATTATTCTTTGTTACGATTTGACTTACTTTGAAATAATTTCAGTCATCATAGATAAAACTAATTAAGTCTACATACCTATTTTGAATAAAATTTCGTATAATTACAAAATATCCATATTGACTAGGTCTCTGAGTAATCAGTCGTAACTTTCAACCGTATATTTATACCAGTTTTTACTTATTACATATCTGACTACTTATCTATACATTTAAGATTACCTAATAACTACAGCAAGACCATTATTATTGATAACTGCAGTGTTACTTAAATATTAATGTCATTAGATACTTGATACATTGCGTAATGCAACATTTGATTTAGTATCTATAACGCATTCTAATATTTGCACTTAAAAAGATACCATTAACATTAGAGTAATTAGGTACTTACTTATTAGTACGTACTTACGTATTACGTATTAGTATTTATTTCCTGAAATGCCTGTATTTATTATAAATTATATGGACGACGTTGGTCCAGAAAAAGGTATTTAAACTCAATAGATTATTTCAATAACAAGTTTATTTAAAAGATTTATATGCTTAATGTGTATATTTTTTTATATTTCCAGTAATGCTGTTCACAACATCCTTTGTCGGCATGTTGTTTGTGGCTTTAGGCATGGGCATCACCAAAGGTCTTCGAACAGTTTACATGAACATTGTGATACCAAGCTACGTGCCCATTGAGCGACTAGCTTTCGCCTCCGGTATACAGATGTTCGTCAATGGAATAATCATCATCCTCCTTGGATCTATTCTAGGTAATTCCCGTTGCTCCTAATTATCTAAAATATCGATTCGTATTTCTCAGTGAAGCTAATAACTATACACTGTGTCAACAATATCCGCCTCAAATTTCCCGCTCATTCTTCTTCCTTTTATTGTAAATCCTTTACTGACCAGGCAGTTCGCCTGTAGATCTCACTATCTCCTACCTACTACCTCTCTCTTTAGTACTATTTTCTTGTGTTCTCTCTTCATTTCTCCATCATTCTCTCCTGTTATATGTATACTATGTAATATGTATGTTTATGTAACCTACCCTTTGTTTTGTTTTCTCGATGTTCTCTACCCAAAGGTTGTCTGGAAGATATTGCTTAGCGATAAAACTGCCTTTTGTATCACTTCTCATTAATATTTACTGTATTTATTATTTTTTTACTTGGTGCAATAAAGTGTAAAGTAAATAAAAAAGTCACTTCATGATTGATAAATCCAAAAAAATCCAATTGATGTGTGAAGGCAAAGTCAGAACAAGCAAGTGAATTCTTAAATATTTTACGAGTGCATTTTACGAACTTTCTTAGAGTATCATCGACTACTAATATTCATGAACAAATATGTTCGTTGCTTTTCCATTAAATATTAAATGCACAACATTAAATAATATGGTTATAATATAATATATTTTTCTTATCGTTTTCTTTGTGTATTCTTTTTATAGAATCTATTTTAACGTAAAATAATTTTCTTTTCAGGTAAAGTGCGAGAGATGTCGGGATCCTATCAAATACCGATAGTAGTACTAAATCTTATCACATTAATTACAGTATTTCTTTGGATAACAGAATTTCTTTATTTTCGAATGAAAAATAATAGCTCTGAATAATCAGCAATGAGCTTTTGAACATCTTTAGAATTTGAGATATGTTCACATGTGTAGCTATTATTTTTTATTTGAAAATCGAAATTATTAATGTTATATTAATTCGTAAACTGGTTTGTCCTCTTTGTTGTTATTCTTTTTAATGTATGTTTTATAATTATACATGTCTATTATGTACAAATATGTAATAGTATGTACAAATTATAAGCCAAAGAAAGAAGACTGTACTACCTGTTTTATTCTTGGATTTGTATACCTTACCCATTCTGTATTTACTACATGATAAATTAAAATATAATTTATCATGTAGTAATGTCAGCTTAACTGACAGATAATATTCTACCTTATTTTCTTTTATCTGCTGTTCTAATTTATCATAATTAGAATTATATATATAGTAACAATATTTATACATATTTTAGTAGTAAATGTACCGCCTACTTAATTTTCTGCTTACCTCGTGGTTGACTGGTAGAGAACGCCATTAGGTGTTAAGTCTACCCTATGTACACTTACTTATATAATTGTGCATAAAAGTTTAATTGTGAATTAAAATACGTAAACAAATAATTTTTATTTCTCCGTTTTATCTATTAAAGTTTTATTACATACCTATTAAACAGATAAAAATATCCAATTTGTAAATATGTTTGTTTCAATCGATTTCCTCGAATTTATATATTTTGGGTGATAGGTTACATTAATTAAGTTAAATCTAGATACCTACAAATTAAAGAAATAAATAAAATATGTTTCATTAATATTTCATTTCATTTACTTACAATAATAATATTTACAGGTAAACTAAATTTAAAAAATATTATTCAAATAGAAAAATATAGAAGTTTTGGTCAACGACTCTACATAAGTACACTGTATTTAATACAATAAATACTGTGTATCTATGTTTAATATCTTTATGGCAATATAATATACTTGAAGATATGTAATTCTGTATTAAAAATCTACAGAGTTATATAATAATTACAATAGCTCTTTAAAACTTACATAGAAGAAATTTCATTCAAAAAGATGATTGACCGTCGTATTCTAGTGAAGAATGATACATAATTTCTGGATATCATTAAGCCCTCTTCACATCTGTAAGTTTTGCTCGCGTAAGAATTTTAATGTATTGTAATTAAGATAAATTTATTAATAAACTGCAGTCAAGCTATCGATCAATTAATTGTCTTACAATATATACGTTCATAATACACTTACATGAATAAAACACACAGATGAAAAGGCGTGTTCATAAATAAAATTTATATGTGTATTTATATCCTAAATTTACACGCATCTATAAATTTTATTCGTAAACCCGCTTCTTAATAATGTTTTTCTATAAAATAAAATGCAATTTTTATTATACGGTATACAAACTTTTTGCCTAATAATAATACTTTAATACTCGTAGTTTTATATACCGTATTTTTTCCTAATTCATACAATATACATTAAAGTCAGTTCATGCCATATAATAGCTCTACATTTCATACGTAGGTATATCTAACTATCTATTAGCATTTTGAAATTCATAGATACAAAACCCATACCTATTGTTATATGCTTCAATAGTGTACACTTTATTTACATGTAATACCACTACAAAAAGTCTATAAGTGTAACCTATTTTAAACATTTTTATTTATGATATATTAGTAAAGTTGGTCCCTTGACAATTTATTACATAAATTTTAAATTGATATAGAAATATTATTAAAAATATGAAAATCATATTTAATAATTATTTAGTAATTAAAAAAATGCGTATATTGCAAGCTAATAAGAGGACTGGCCGTAGCTTGGCGTAGAAGCTGCGGTTCAAATCTTAATTTTATACTTTAAATTTGATACGATTTTCATGTAATAAATAATATTTCTAACCTATTGGTTTTCCATCATCAGGCACAGGTCTCTCTCTGTCATGATGTCCAGGCGGCTTGAACCCTACCTACCTTTGTAGGGTTTTATTACTAGTATTTATCTCCAATATATAACTACATTTACAAGAAGGGTGGTGTGTGACAATAATTATGTTATGAAAAAAATTTAACAATCAACATTCATCCAAACATCTATTTGGCTCTTACTTCTCAAATTTTAAGAGTACATTTTAGTTTTTTTATTAGTGTTCGCCATGACTGAAAAATCATTCGGTTATAATTAACACAAAATTATTTGGTCTTTTACAATATAAAAATTCTTGAAAATTTTGAATAAGATATGTAATATGCATGTAAGTTACATTTTGTTCTACTTTATTAACATGGCAATAGCAATGGAAGAGGATTATACAAAAATATGATAAAATCTATGGTAATTTAGATACTCTCCTTAATTTGGGAAACTATCGACTTACACGTGTTACTGTAGTTTATATTTCATTATAGTCACTTTAATATAACTACTTTATTTTCACCTCAGTTCACTATCACTTTCCATTAATATTTGTCTACTTTCATTTACTAACTAAATTCACTATAGAGTTTTCACATAATTTCTTTGTATTATAATGCATCACTATGAGGTCCGACAGTCGTAGCATCGATTGTATCCTGAAACATAAAATTAATTGTTAGTATAGGTATTTTTTTTTTATTTAGACGTATAAATATCACATATTTTGTAAAAATTGACAGAAAACATATAACTACATAATAAATTCTAATTAGGGCTATAGAATATAAAATAAGCTTCATTTTAACTTTAATGATGAGCAGAATGATGATGATGATGATGAGACTGCATGGCATTAAAGACACACCAGTCCACCACAAAGAGAGACCATAGTATCGATTAATGTTTAACCATTGTATCAAAAGCTTCCATACCCTTAACAAAAACTTGCGTTTACAAATACATTGACTGAACTCTAATACTTGTATTTATACCTTACTTTATATATATATATATATATATATATATATATATATATATATATATATATATATATATATATATATATATATAATGTACATATTTTATTTACAGTTCTTTAAAGTGCTTAAAATTTGATGTTCTTATTATTTTAAATTGATTATCTCTTTTAAAGTAAAGAGTCAATAATGTTAAAGAGTCTTTAGATTGGAATATTTTATATTGTATGTAATATTAGATACTTACCTATGGAATAAATTGGCCGATTTTAATACTAAATACACTTATTTCTTAATTAATTTTCCAACATAAAATAAACTGCTAAAATTTTATTCATTTTATACCCATTATATATAATTTACATTGAAATTATACACAAAACCACTAAAGGAGACAATAATGTCTTCAAGAACATAACGTGTATTGATTTTCTATTGGAATTATATAGTCAGACAGTATATGGTATTCTGCCACGTTTATGGCATTATTTATAAGACAATAAACATTAATATAAATAGGAACAATACCTATACTATCTCATTAAATACAAAATTTTACTCGAGTGATACGGCTGTTCCATAGGTAACCACCTTAAATATTACATTGAATAACCTTAATATTTTTTTATTATAAAAGAAAATTAGTTAATGTCAATAAACCTCTTCCTCGTTAGTGTAATGGTTCTGTTGAAAACCTTCTTGTAACAATGTGCTGTTGCTATGTCTTCGATTTTCCAAATCATTTACTGAAAAAGATAAAATAAGGTCATTTTAATGAATTCAATAAACATTTTATTTAATTAATATCATGAGCATAACTGTAACTCACTACTTTGGTACCAGCTTTTTGAAAATCCGTATAATGAATCCGATTTAACAGGATCGCCAAATGATGGTCGAGCAGAAAATCTTGGTGATTTAAAGGGCAGATTGTCTGATCCAGATGGCTTGTTGTCAATATTTGTCTTATGAGATTCAAAAGATTCCGCGTTTAACCATCCTTTAGATATATTGTACGCTTCTAACCACGGCTTTGATGTAACAACATACACTTTTTCTTTAGTTAATGGGGATATAGACGTCTGAATTTTTTCCCAAGGAGCGGGAGTAGTGGTAGTACTTCGAAAAGTCGAAGCTGCTGTGTATATATGGAGTTTTTTAATTTCATCAATTTCTTGATTTTTACCAATACTTTGTTTACTTTTAGTTCTTTCAATAGTATTATACTGCTTTCTAGACTTACTAGATGAATTGTTTTTCTTTTCAGTTACTGAATGTTGAATACTACTGGAACCTTCATGATCATAAAATTCATAATTAAAATTATTTGTCGCTGTAACATAATTAGTAGGAACAGTAGTTGTAAAAAAGTCATCGGGAATCTGTTTGGCATATTTTTCAGCACCACGAGAACGTTGTGGTGTTTTATAACGCTTAGAATATTCTTGTTCCGTCCAATCATCTATCGTGTTTTGCAATTTAATTATATCAAAAGGTGGTTCTCTAACATCATACAAATCATTTAGTATTGCTGCTGTATTTAGTTGATGGGAATCATTATTTTCAGTAACTGTCAATGTTGGATCTTCTGTAGTTGTACTTATACTATTATAATTTTCTGTCAAGGTACTAATATAAGGATTCTCTGTATTAGTTGGAATTTTCCTAGGCTGGTACTCATCCTCGTCTTTCGACTCCCATTCATGAGAAATATATTCGAAATTTCCATTATTTTTACTCCCACCTTTATTAGTAGTATATGGAACTATTATCTGAACAATTTTGGGTTTACTTATATTTTCTTGAACACTCTGACTATAGTCAGCTCTACTTTCCTCCCAACCAGTTGCAAAAGTAGATTGTGGAATTGGTGTTGTTTGAACATCATCATATATCTCATAATCATTGCCACTCACTGGGGTTGAAACAACAACTCCAAAATTTTCATAATCTTTATGTGGCGCACTTGGTTTAAGATACAGTAAAGGTGAGTCAATATTCTGTAAATTACTTTCTGTTCTATATTTATCAACATCTTCATCTTTTACTCCTCTTAAATCTGCAAAATCAGGTTTGTGGTTATAAGGTACAAAACGATGTTTTAAATCTGTCGGTACCCCAGTATCATATAAATCGTTTCCTCCATCAACACCCGTACTTTCAAAACTTGAATCAGGAATAGACTTGGTTGCTGATACATGATCTTCAGATGCTTGAGATGAAATATCCCGATTCCCATCAACGATATAACTATTTGGTATATTTCTATAACCTTTCGTCAAATTAAAATTCTTACTTGCATCAATATCAATTACTGGAGATTGAGTTATGGAGGCAGGATAATCAATAGAATGAGTGAACTCCACAATAGGAATACTTGGAGATATGTCAACATTATGAGATGTTTGCTGCATAGAATTTACTCCATGTACAATATTTGGCGAATAATTAGGAGATGTTGGTTTAAAAGGTCTTGCATTAAAAATAGGAGGTAAAGGCGATACGCTAAGATTGGGCAAAGCTACCGGTTGTAAGGTATGAATATTTCTTCCTCTATTCAAACTAAATGGAGCAGGATTTGCCAGAGCTAATGAAGTATTTGGGATAGGAAATTTGGTAGCGTCATTTGGTAAAACTTCTGTCTTCACTTTGGTAGATTCAGCAGCTGTAGCTGATACAGAATATGGTACATTTAGTGCATGAGTATTAGTAATTATTTCTCCATAAGAATTTTTAAAGCCAGCTGGATGTGTTACTTTTGGTAATGGTAAATTTTCAGGTTCAGTATTTCTTAAAATCTCTACATCACCAAATTGTGGCAATTCTCGGTTAAGTAATTCAGGCTCGTAAAGTGGAGTAACAGATTTATGTGATTTATCGGTTTGATTCGGAATTTCAAATGTTGTGGACGGTGCAAATGTTGAAGTTGGAGTACCATAAGTCGAACTCCGAACATTATTTGATACGCTATAAGAATTAGGTATGTCTTGTGACGAACTAGGAAAGTTGTATGAAGAATCATGTTGATTATATGTTGTGCTAGGTATCCCAAATGGGGAACTTGATATGGAATAAGATGAACTTGGTAACGCTGAATATGTAGAACTTAATGGACTTTGAGATGGATTTGAGATGGTATGCGTAGGACTAGGTGGTCCATATGTTGAACTAACAACTTTATTAGCATTGCTATTGTGAATATGAGAAGTACTTGGTGGGCCATAGATAGCATGGGGTATGGGTGGAGGCGATGGTGGAAATTTATTTTCTATATTTTGGAAGGGTTGCGGTAAATTAGGTACATTAGCATAAGCTGTGGGACTCGGTGGACCATAAGTTGGATTAGAATTCTGGTATAAATTTTTAGCTCCTATATTGTATCTAATAACCGGTATCCATGGCACTAAATTACAAGGATTACAATCTTTCTTTATAGGAGTTATATTATTGGTAAATACTTGAGATTTTGTATCATGATTCGTCTGCTGTGTGGAGAAAAGCCATCCCGAAACTTTCTGGAATAATGAAGGAGAAGGGGATGTAGTAAATGGTTGAGGAGGTGGTACAAAATTGAAATTATATTGCTTATAAAAGGGTGCTGGAAATTTAAATTCATTGGAAAGAGAAACTGGTGGAGGAGGTGGAGGTGGCAGATACTGATATCCTAAATTTTGACGTTGCGATCTTCCTGGTCCTCCATGGAATGGTACTGGTGGCAATATCGGCGGAGGTGGTGGAGGCTTCAGAAGTTCGCCAAATTGCGAAGCACTATTTTTACCAACATTACCATACCCATTAGTTGCGTCGCATTTACACCTTGTTACTAAGGCGATTAATAAAGGGAATATCTGTAACAAAAATATTAACATCGTTAATATCTAAACTTTTTAAATTTAGTTAATATACCTAATGAACTTAACATAATTTTACAATTACTTAGAAATTATAGTGAAAAACGCGGTGTGACATATCCATAGTATTGTAGATGTTTCCCACGAGCTATCGTACTCTGTACATTTCTCTTTTCTCATAGTATTCGCTAGTAGCGATTGGAAGAAGTTACTTTGTGAAATTAATTGTTCTAGTTCGATTCATGTCAATGACGCGTAATCTATTTGCAAATAATTTTTAGATTTTAGGTAATTTTTATGGAGTATGTCTATTCTATAGTTTATATATAGTCGTGTTGGTACCGGCATAGAATTGGCCACCCCTTCCTTTCTCATAGGTCGTAAGAAGCAACTAAGGGACCTTATAGTGAAGGAATGGGCAGCAGCGTCCCTCTTAAAACATCTCCATATGCCAACCAATGGTCGCCAACCCGCCTGCCAAGCGTAGCAACTAGTGGCAAAACACCACTTATGGGGGAGACTATGATCAACAATGGACAGTTCACGGCTAATACAACAATGTCTGCATTAACAAAGTTACAAAAATTATAGATTCAATAATAAATTGGTATCTAATATCCGTTTTGATAAAATAGAAATTTATTAGCGATAATTATGCATGTTAATAAACATTTTCACTCGCTTGAATAGTTCTACTGTACGTATTACATCATAAAGCCTATAATTTATACACAATGTATTATTACTTATATAACGTACCTATACATTTCTTAATTTTCACGATAGACAAACAACAGTAAGAGTTTCAAGTATTTAGGTATCTATTGAAAGTTCGAGCACGAACAAGTGCATGATTTGGCTCCAATGTTTCTCAAAATTAGTAATGTTCAATTCATAGCTCGTATGACGCTCGAGTTTCGAAACTCGAGAATACGCGCCCACTACACGTCCAGTCGTATCATTTAAATAAATACGTGCATGAAAGTGAAATTGGCATTTATATATTACTGTTAAATCATTTCCATCACATTATTGGTGAAGGACGTTCGTAATTGTTTGGTTTAAAAATAAAATCTACGCTCCTCATTAATGAAATTTAAATAATCAATTTAAATCACAAAATATTGCTGGAACCATGAACTTATTGTCTTATGAATTCATTCAGGATATTGTTTATTTATGAACCAAGATTACAAAATACATATAGCAGTTTACTCCAAAATAAGGAATATCGTAACACGATTCATATATATAACACATAGAATAAATTTAAATAATATTATAAAGGGAAAAGAATTTTTTAATGTAATAACTACCGGTTTAACTTATATGTAATTCGATCGAAAAAGTTTTTTTTTTTATAATGAATAAACTGAAAAATATGTAACCTGTTTTAAAAATTCTAATATGTATTTTATAAAAATAAAAAAAAAAACAGATATTTATCCACCCGTGCAAAATCGGAGCAAATCTCTAGTAACAAGTAAGATTAATAACTGTCAATTATTCAATGAAGACATTTAAGTGTAACCTACTTTTGTACCAATTTTTATCAGCTTGAACCTAATTCGAATATTTAAACCTAATCATTTAGGAATAAATATCCGGTCTGTATAATTATAAAACTATACTAACAAATCCAAAGCGAATTGAGCATTTTTATTATACTGTGTTACATTATACATTAATTCTGTAACGCATAATAAAACTATAATGATAAAATAAATAAGAAATACGTGGGCCCTAATGTAATCATTGACCAAAGGTCAGCGAAGATCATCAGCCTTGTCGTTCGCACGGCACACTCTAAGAACTTTTACTTAATTGCCACGCAAAACGCAATGCTTTCTTCCTATGACATAAGGTTGATGCTATTTTATTCTCACAGCCGAAACAGGCGAAAGTGAAAACTGGATGAGGTGCTACACATTTACTTTGCAATAAACCATTAAATGCAAATGAGATGGTGAGATGCCTAATCGATCTGTCGGAGCTTTTTTTTACTAAAGTGCAGAAGGCTTATGTTTTCGTCAATAGAATTGACTCCAGAATTCGAAATTGATTCTAAGTCGCCGTTCTCTAAACCTATCTCTATAATTAATATTATAATTTGATAGTTTTATAAAAATATTATTTATTAATTATTATTAATATTTATGGACTATCTTAAACTAAGTGTATAATGATATTGCTTTATTTCTATTATTAATTTAGATCATATTTATCTTTAAAAAAAATTACTGTGATATAACTTTTAAATTTTAAATTCAGAAACAGGTTTCGAAACAGCAATTCATAATCGAATCCAATGTATTTTTATTTCGTAATTACATACTTTTTTATTACTAGCTAAGTATGCCCGCAACTTCATATAAATAACCGGATTATAAAGTACCCTTCTCCACCACATATGCGTGTATGCCAAATTTCATACTGACTCGTTTGACACCATGAGGATAAATAAACTAACTTTTAAATTTACATATCAATAAGAATTTTATTATTTAGAGGTCACATAGAAAAACAAATGTTAATATATTCATATATCACACATATATCGCTATCATACACTGACAGAAGATAATTTGAAAAATCTTTTTGCTTCTTCTACTGAAAGCTAAAAAAATAAGAAATAGTATGTCCCCGTGGGTCTCCCTACATAAAAGAAAATGACAGCGAGAATATAATCATCGAAAAGTACTTTTGAAATGGATTAAAAAGTAAAAAATATTGTTTAATGTATTATTAGAAATCGACTATTGTTATAAATCACGAAAAACAAAGTATAGACTGTCAAAACATGATTGACTTGTCAAAGTTATCCCAAATGCTAGTAAGTAGATAGATACGTGACTTCAATCAAACATTGGGCAGTCGTGATCTACCACACAAAAGTGTACTTTTTTAAGTAGGTACCTAGTTATTCCATTATGTACAGATTCTTTACCTCCTTTTGTTATATAATACTTAAATTATTTCTTTTAATACACATTTTAAAGTTCACTTTCACAAAATATACAAATAATAAACAGTTGACAAACTAAGCTTTCAACATATTCTTGTTTTTAACTTAGATCTTGAGGAAAACAACTGTGAAAACCGCATCCATTTTAGTGCAGTTGTTCTTGTATAAAGACGGAAAAAAGATATAAACAAAGTTTCTAAAAAAAATTATTTGGCATCTATTAGACTTATTAAGAACTTTCTTGTTAATTTTTCCTAAATTTCTTTAACGTACATAATATCAACTAGTCACATTTTACTTTATTAGTATTTATATATACTATATTGATATTTATATATTATTGATACGCTTGAATGACTAGTGAATGTATTTAAAGTACGATACAAACATGTCTACTAAAATCAATTAACCAATCAATGTTGCACGAGTTATACAGCCCGCCTGTAGACTTACTTAACGCAATCGAATTGAGATCAAATTGAATTCACATCGAAAGACGTCAAATAATATAAAGTAAGGCACCGTCGATTTTTGACGTTTCTTAGACGTAACTACAATATTATCCCAAACAACATTATACAGTATTGGGCAAACATACAGTAACAAGACAAGACATCCTTTTAATTTATCCATTTTCATCAAATATACATATAGCAAATAAAAGAAATACATATATATGTACTCATTTATATTAAAATTCAATCTGTCTATATTTGTAAATAATATTGCAAAAAGGTAGTTATTTAAAGCTTCTCAGAATAAATAAGGCTAGACAAGAAAGGTATAGAATATCAGCTTACACCATGGACCTGTAGATAACCAGTCTGCAGGGCAAAGGTCAATACCGTACGATACCTAATACTACTATATAAATTATATTCACTTACTATCTACTTGCACACAACACAGATGTAATAAATTTCTAATTTCTTTAACGTATTTATTTTAAAAAATCATATGAATTTTTTCGTCTATGTTCAATGGAGAAAGTTTCTTTATTATTACTGAACATCCGAAGTCATTTAAAAATATATTTAAGCAAGAAGATTGCAAAGCCACTTTTTATGAGTTTTAATTTACTGTCTAACGGTAAGTAGCTATATTTATCGCAACGCCATTAACTAATAAAAAACTTCAAAGCTACTAAATTTCACAAAATAAACTAAATTTCTAATTACTAGTAATGACAATGCCTATCATCGTATCAGCCGTTATCTGTCCACTATTGAACATAGGCCTCTCCTATATGAGGGAGGATCTGCCAGTAATTGCCACGCTTAGTAGACGAGTTTAACAATCTACATATACTAATTCATTATTTACATATTCTGATGGACATAGAAAAAATATTTTTAAATAATCTAAAGAAGTAATCCATTTTGATTTCCGTTACTTTCCATTGCTCATCTTATACACTACAATCAAATACAAAAAATATTTCTGCTAAATAGTAGCAATTATTTATTATATTTAAGTGTGATGGTACAGATTCAATCACTGACTCTAAAGTGAGTTGTTGTTTGAGTATAAGAAATACAACATTAAATATCAAAATAAGAATTATCATCCGTATCTTATTAGAGAAACAAATAATCAATCATCATAAACTTTCATCGCATATCTTCGTAATATGTCACGATTCATCCTTCAAACAAGGAAGCAATTTATAAAACAAACAGTTATGTGACAGTTCCATTATCGCTCTATTGACAACTAAACAGACAAAAGTCAACAATAGCGAATCTTTAGTCCAAATGTTTGGAACAAATGGGGTGGGAAAGACAGGAGAAAGCAATGCTCGTGACTAGGCGACTATAACACGCCAAGAGTCATGTCACACCTCTTCAATCACTAATCAATCTCAAAAGATAAGAGACATACAAACCGTGTCCACTGCGCCAAAATGTAACAAAACAAATAACCAACATATAATTACGTATTAGTCAATATGCAAACTAAACAATTAGATCACTGTTCCAACTTATAAAAACAGGTTAGAGTCGATTTCTAATATAAAAAAAATATGGTCACA